AAAAAGTTGATAAATACACACTCTGATAATATCGTGTTACCCCAATACCCCGAAGAAGCACTTGCTTTCTCTCGACAATTTCATGCACGTCATATTTGTCATGCAGGATGTTATTTGCCGCAATGTCAATATTTGAGAAAGTAAAAGTATGGCAGTTTTCATATATGCTTAAAGGGGTTCGTAATCCTTAAGTGCATTATGAAGTACTATTTTTATCTCTTAACTGACATATCCTGTTTCAAGTTGTGCATGTAAATTGCACAAATTGTAAACTGATATCGTGGTCTTCTTACGGTTTATAAATGACTGAAAAAAAAGTATTAGGGTGAGCATTTGTTATTTTAAATTTAGAAATTCAATAATCTATGCAATAAAATAACAAATAAAAACTTGAATAAACAGATCCTTCAAAGATTTACTCGAACAGTTTGAAGGATACTTTTTGATTTCAATATTCATATGTGCTTTAAATTTATAAACGTATTGATGACCTGTTTATTTCTTCAGATGCCATCTGTCACTTACCTTAGTGTGGTCAGAGTGCACGAATTAGCCAATTATAAAGTTATGAGGATCAACATTATTCTAATATCAGCCAAAGATATTCTAAGCAGTAAAGGGATAAAGCAAGCACGGCAATCATTTTCTGAATACATGTTCACCGTTTCTATGGTAGCCTACCGTCACATACTCACTTGTTCCTTTTTCCTACTTATAGGGTTATATAAAATTGTCGCTGGCCACACACACACACACACACACACACACGCACACACACGCACACACACACCAACACACACACACACACACACACACACACACACACACAATAAAAATGACCACGATTCTTCTGTGAGTCAACTAACTTTACACAAGTTCTCAAAACACGATTTTCCGAAGACCACTTTTCGGTGAGAATTCAATTTCTGGTTAAATTAACCCTAAAAAATTCCTACAGAACACTTTTGCAGACAAATGCAAAACATGACTCGGCGATTCATCTCAAAATCCTTCAACAATCTCGTAATCCAACGTGCACTTACTCTACTCGTATGAATTTCATCTTGAAATATACGATGTACAGTCCAATTACCCATGTCTTATTCCATAAAAAGTTCACATTCACTTATTTGTCGATCCAATGAACCAGCATTACGCCACTTTTCTTAAAATAGATAAATACAGAATCCCTAAAGAAAGCCCAACACGGCAAAATTGAAAATGTTGCAGGCTCGGTTTGATTGAGCCTGTTCATGGACGGTACTGGTGAGTGCAAGTTACCGTCCACGCCCCCTAGCACCGGCTTAATAAAGTTGGCATCTGTAATTATCCAGTAATGTTTCTCGCCCTTAGCGGTAACGTTTGTGCCATGTGCACACTTACGACCGCACCACGGATTATTTCGTCTTTTTCACAGTTCCATTTCAAAAAAGATCATTGACTCATTCCAACGTCATTTTCTCGTAATATCATGTTTACTGCTTGCACATTAAGAATATATATACGTCACATAGCGACGACAAGGTGCTATAAGACTCGTTAGAAAGATTGAAGCTTCGTATGAGGCACTTTGCCGTAGCACTAGTTTCAATTTAAGGAAAGTCAAATGAGTGTTTTAATTAAGCTAGCATGGATATTGCCCAATTTGTTAACACCTCACTATGCTTACTCAATGGAGCGATATCATACCCTTGTAATGGAGAGCTTTGGACTTTTCTTGAAAATAAGCTTTAGTGTTTATATGTCGTGCTCAGTTTGGTCTTTTTCGCAGAGGCTTTTGCCAACGCCAATTGCTTTTTTGTGCTTTTAAATGTGACATTCCGCAAAAAAATCGAACTATAGTGTTGGTTGATGTTAGCCTATACTATTGAAAAATGGTTCGTTCGATACAGCTCTGTAAGTCACTCGACTATTGCACTAGTAAGAAGGTCAAACAGATATTATTCAGGGTACATCCAGCGCGAGTTGTTTACAAGGATGACTATGTGCCTTCCATGTAGGACAATATAAAACACTTATCACCCCTCCAGTTACAAAATGAAGAATGACCCAAGAGCTATTAGTCTTACTGCTGACAACCATTTTAGAACGTCACAGTTAGCTTCAGAAAATGTTATGTCCGACATATATTACTAGACTCTTGGCTCATATTACCATAAGGTAAAGGAGTCTCCAAGCGTTCGTTGGACAGCTTCATTTAGACACACTTCTCCGTCACAGTGGTCATTATAAAATGTTGTTCTATTTTAGTCTTTCAGTTAATAACTTCCCTGCTGTATACTTTAGCTACATTGATTCACTCGGTCCGGTAAGCATATAACGAGTGCAATAACATTTATATTTCATATTGTCACAAAACCTTCGATTTACACAACAATGTTTCTCATCATTAAGAATTTTGCAACAACTTCGGACAAGGGACATTAAGCTTAATTAAATATTGTAAAGAACTATTTGCGGGATCATTGTAAGCGTTGAGTACATAGTGATAAAGGCATAGAAATTCCGGGCTTAACAATTTTCAGAATTCCAATATAGGTCTTTCTTTATTCACTAAATTTGTCACAAACGTCCATCATCTAAGCTTTAGTATGAAGGCATATTATGTCATAAACAAACAAAAGAGGTTTTGACTTGAAAAAATGGTTATCCTAAAAGGATTTTGTTTTTACGACAATATTCGTATCAATAAAATGGTTCTTATTTAAAACGACAATGATAGGTACCCGCAAATATTAGGCCTCGTGTATTTTTATTTTATTTTGACATTTCATTATTGAATGTGTCTTTAGTGTATTTTTCTACATATTTCGCTTATTACTCGACCAATGGAATATGCATAAACTTTCTTCGGTGTTTTTCAGAAATTTTTATGTACTTTCTGTTTTGTCACGCAACAGCAATTTCCGATGACCCACCAGACAAGCTGTTTTCTTTGGAAATAATTAACCATTCAGTTTAGAGCCTCATCTTTCTACTAATTATAGATAATGTGCTTATCTCAATAAGGAAAACATTGGATTAGTAACCCAGGGGTTGGGGATGTCACTAATTTGATATTCGAACGAGGCGAAATTTCTCCGTGACAATTGATTTCGGAATATAACGGACATTTGGCTCTCACTGTTGATTCAAAAATAAGGCATGGTTAGAACCTGGTCACTTGCTTAGAAATAGGTAAGAAATGAATCATTCAGGAACGTCGGTTAGATGGATCTACCGCCGTAAACCCAGAAAAAGCATCAATTATAGCTAGCTCAATTCATCATATCAACATCCACGCCATCGTCAGCTCTTCTTCACTTGATTGAGAATAAAACAACAGATTCCGTTGAGTATCATACATTAGAAGACATACGCACGCAAGTAATAACAGCACTAGCGTATCTTATCACCATTTTGAAAATTAAGCCCCCCCCCCAATGCTGTTATTTTAAATTTCCAAAAATATTTAATTCATAGTATCCAGCTACACGTTCTAAATCGGTTCATTAAGGCAAATATTTGAGTAATCGTTTACTTTTTGGATATATTTTACCTTTTGCTTCTTTTTATGATATTACATGTATAGCATCTAACATGCTTTTATTATCTAATTAGGAAATGGATATCAATTCTGAGTGCATTGTTGTAGAATAATGCACGGTTTGAGTTCAAATGCGTAGTAATATAATCACGAAGGCCGATAGGCCTGAGAGATTAATTACAAAGCATTTGAACGAAAAACGTGCATTTTTATACAATAATGCACGAAGAATTAATATCTATTTCCATTCTAACACGTCAAGAAAAAATATAATTATTACTATAAAGTTGGACTTTTTGTTTGGTGGTTAAATTTGTTTTCGCCTGAGAGTTTCCCATAGAAACGTTCTTTAAAGGCTGTTCCAGTGGGTTGAAAACAAACTGTCGTTAAATCTACCGTGTGTAGAAACACTTTGATAATAACGAATTTTGAAAACGTTCGTAAAACTTTGTTTGTTAATTTAATTTCACTCTATAATTTTTCAAATTATTAAAAGTGAAATAAACGTAAAACTGAACTCGTTTGCGCCATTAAAATAGCGTACTTGATTTGATTGTTTTGCACGTGCTGTTTGGCGCTACATTGTGACGTCACGTAAACAACACTTTAAACGTCTGTACAGCGTTAACGACTGAATTAAAGATATTGGTGTTCGGATTCATTTTCTTAATTAGACAATTTTCTTTCATTCTAGATAGCTTTCACAACATAATTCGACAAAAAATGTTTTTCTTTATCAGATTTTTTAAACAAAATGGCGCCCTCAGTGTGAAAATACACAGGGAGATAATAAGAACGGCGAGTGCATTGTTGCAGAATAATGCACGCTTCAGACCTTCTTTGTTTATATAGAAAAAAATCCGATAGTGTTAGAATTATTATTATTATTTCTATTTTTTACATAAATTTTATATCTTAAACATTTCCTACTTAAACTACACTTATCACCTCTATATAAAATGCATGATCATTAACACTGCTTGTGCAAATAATGATGATGTATACACAGTTACAAATCAAAAGTAACATATGTTCTTCCAAATTTAAAATAACAGAAAACTATAATTCCTTTGTTTCATTTTGTCAATTTAGTGCAGAAACGGGAAAAGTCCTTCTGAATTGAATAAGAGTTAATCAATTATTGCACGAAGGTGACGGTTTGAACGGATTAATTCGAAGACATCATTATTTCAATTCAATAATATGCTGTTAAAGTTATTTTATAATAAGGTATTCATTCGTTCAGCGTAATCATGCTTTTTCAAAAATAATTGATTACTTCTACCTCCAGGCTCATCTTTCAATGCTAAAGCTTTTTGAAATAACATTTCAATAAAAGAATCTTTGCATGTCGTATAGTTGTTTACATATTGATCGTCGTCCGAGTTATATAAGAATGACTCTCATTGTATACTTTTTATGTCAATAAGGAAATAAATGAAATGCACTTTGGTTTGAATATGATTTTAAATTGACGTGAAGTTTGTGGGGCTGTATACAATCTAGATAGATGTTTGCCAAGTTTCTTTTATTCTAAATTTTTATATCAACAGTGTAATGTTTCGTTAACAATTTATTTGCAGCTTATATAATATTATGTTTGCTATCATTATGTAATAGTAAGGAATATTAAGAGTGGAAATAAAATGGCTAGCCAGGTATTTAGTTACTTTGTTGTAATGATTAAATGTACATAAATACAATATAATTGTAGAGAAATATATGGAAAAATTCCTTTTTGATTGTAATGGCGAGACAATCAAATGAAGAATACATATCATACGGAACTACTGAAATAAGTAAAACAGAGTGAAATATACTCTCTTGAAATTGAAAATGCTGCAGGCTCGGTTTGATTAAGCCTGTTATGGACAGTACTGAACTGTCCACGATCCCTAGCACCGGCTAAGTCATAATGATATACTTTATTGTGCGTTCCCGAATGTTCATTACATACTTAAATATATATTCTTATTGTGAATGTACAGATAAAAAAAACGATAACTTTACAATAGGCATACTTGTTTAAATCTTATATTTAATTTCAAATGAATACTCAACATCATATAAAAGGAGTGGAACAGTGTTTTTGTTATATTCTATACAAATTTTCAAACATCACTCTAAACATTTGTCAATGTACCATCGTCATTTGGTCAATCAACATTATAATATACAATCTTTATAACATTTTCAGGTTTGCTCGACAGTTAACATTATTAGTTATAAAGATTGTTGACAGGTTACATATTCCTTTATAAACGGTTATTTGTAAATATATTGCAAACATGTCAACAATCTTTATAAGGATTTGCATAATACAGAAAGCATCATTTTTTAGAGAAAAAAGAAGTACGATTTCTTCATGAATCGACAGCAGCCGTGTATAAAAAAAAACTATATACACGTCACGATTATCCAATGAAAAGCGACATTACAAACGTGCAAGATCACATTATATAGGAAATATAGTAAATGCGTATATAAAGAACGGTAATTAAGAAAAAATATTTTCATTTACTGAAAATTTTTGAAATAACAATAAATTTATAAAGACAAAATCATGATACATATTATTTTGTTTGGTTAGGTTTTACGTTTTTCATGAACGGATAATCTAGTGGTGTGCATGTACATATATAATGCATTAGATGCTTTTTCTACAGTGGTGTTTTACCGCAAAAATTAGATAATGTATTTTTTTTTGTCGTAACCACATCTCACGGACAGACATCATTATAAAACATACTGTAAAACTTGATGGACTCATCAATATATACACGTAGATATTTCTCTGCAACAACTTTCACTTTTGTATAACAGCATTTTATCTAGGATGAAATGTTAAGTTACGAAGCCTTTTTTGATGCTCATTGTATGAAATATATGTACATGAATTTATAATGCAAAACTATTTTACACATATTGAATTGCTTTTTTCGAATTCGTTAATACCAGGTGAAAGAGTCGAGCATACCTCTTAAGGATGCCAACAAAAATATATCCAAACCTAATATTTCAAATTAACTATGTTTCGGTGCTGTAAGAACTGGACTTCTATATTTGTTGTTGACAAGAGGTAGGAAAGAGTAGAAACACATGCTATTCATTTTCAATATGAAGTTAGTGTTCATGAATTATTGTTCTCAACGAATTTGAAAAAATGATATAATTACCATAATACTACGCTGACGAAACATGTCAAACATTGAAACATTGGTTGAACTTGTTTTTAAATGTAATGTGTATAAATTCGAAATATATAAACATATGCCTCGCCAGATTTTAAAGTTGAGAGAATTGAAACATTTAATAATATTTCCACAAATTAACATAATACAACAAAGAAAGTGATGAATAGCATTTGATGGATTGAAATTACTTGAAATATTCTTTCTTTGGATAAGTGGTAGATTAATAAATCAATAGATTGTGCCTTCATAAATGTGACGTACGTTTTATGGTAGACTTGTAAGTATTTAACAAATGTCTGTGCATACTTATAATATGTATTAACCTCTTTACTAATCTTGGTGTAAAATTACTGTTCCATAATTTGTAAACACTGAGTCTGGACAAGTAGAAATGGTTTCAATTCCCACAGTTGAAGTTTTATAAAAGCTATTCAGAAACCTCTCAGGAAACAATTTATAAGTAGTTATCTCTTACACAAAGTTAATCAACCTCAAACTTTTCAAAAGGGCGAAACCCCTCTTTATCAAGTAGTTTGCTTTTTTTTAATTTCTACGTCATATATTAATATTATTTCGTCTTACACAGTTTGTTAGTGACAGATTAATACAGAAATACATTTTCATATTATTTTGTAAATAGCATAGTGTAAGAAAAAAAGAAGACAATTTATATATATGTTTAAAAGGGCGTTTCAACCCCTCGAAACGTTGGAGGTTGATTAACTTTGTGTTATAAAAAGTTATTTAGTATATAGTATACCAAAAGTCTTTAACGGTGTAAGATAATAAAATGCTTTGTTATCAAATCGTTAATGGTTACTTCTGCATGTTATTTATATATACGGTCTATTGTTTCTTTTTCATGTTATCAATTTAGGCAAGAGGTTTGCAACTTTTGGATAAGATAGAAAACCACGACATAGAAGGTGTAAAGCAAATACTTAGTCGCGATACAGACCTTAAAGTAGATCGGGTAAGAATGGTTTCTTATTGTTTCCATGCAAATAATAATTCTAATATACTTGTCTTTCGCAATTGCTTTTATACAAACTGTTACAAACTGCCTCAATACAATGGTGGTATGAGAACATTAAAATCGACAGTAAGGTGTCAATGTGCCTTTTAACCTAACCAAAAAATAATACAAATTTCTCAAATATAAAAATATTGGTGAAGGAATGAAAGAAGTCAAAGGAAAACATTGAATATACCCATGCCTAAAGCTTGGGTCATTAAAAGGTTTTTGGACTGACTGAATGGCTATAATTCCAAGATTTTCTTGGTGTTGTTTTCTATGTTTTCTTAAATGTATTTATGATACATTTTAATTATTTGAATGTGACCTAACAACTTGTTGAGATTCAAAATTAGATAAAAACTGAAGCTGTAAGAGGGGTTCTCTATGTGTGACTAAGAGGCTCAATGAACAGCCTTTTCCAAGCGCAGCCTGCAACTTTCAAAAGCTTTTCGTTTTGGAGGTTTTTTAAGGTTCTCTTTTGTTCACTCTTTCAAGTTATATAAGTTATCCCTCACTGGAATTTTTATGATTATGATTTTGTCGAGTTCATGTTTTATGTTTTCAGAAAGGAGACACCCCAATTCATCTCGCTGCAAGGAAAGGCTATTTTGATATTATAGAAATACTTATCAAGAAAGGATGCAATGTCAATCAGAAAAACCAGGTATATATTTTATGTTTTGTTACATCTAGTTTTATCCAGCAGGTGCGGTGGTTTTGACCCCTGGTGTTGCTTTAAATTTGTAACACCCGAGGTTAGCCAAAACCTAATTTGTGTTGGTGTGATGTAAAACAGAACAATCAAATCTTTTTAATTTTAACATCAGCAACATGCTAATGGATTATTGTTTACCTAGATATTCCAAATGTAAAAACTGAACATATGTTCTAATAATAGGAATAAACAAACCAAAAAGACAAATGTGGCTCAATTTTCTAACGTCTGTTCTAAAGAGACGATGATTGGGGTTTAATACGTCCGTGCAGTCTTGTAAGACCGAGGTATCTTCTGTTGACTGATTCATTTGTTTCAAAGTTCTCTTTAAACATAAGATGAATCTGTGCGCAGAGCATTACAAAATCAAGAATGTCAATTCTGTCCTCTCTTCCTTTTCCATAAAATAGAGAAAAATAAGAATCCCCAAAGAAAGCCCAACACGGCAAAATTGAAAATGTTGCAGGCTCTGGTTGATTGAGCCTGTTCATGGACGGTTCTGTCAAGTGCAAATACCGTCGACGCCCCGTAGCACCGGCTAAAGAAGAATTAAAATTTTATCAGGAACTGGTGAAATTTAGAATTATGAAACATCCGCAAATCCGCGAACATTTTAGATAAAGCATTTTGATCGCACTGATTTGCCCCTTTTTTCCTTTTACCCAAATGAATTATTTTGACGCAACTATAACGGACCGTCATGAAAATGTATTTCGCCACTTCGGGTTATAAGTTTTCTCCTTTGACAGCATGTCTAGTTGTATTCCTAACGTCGACAGTCTCTGTGTCCGAAAGGCGGAAGTACTCTACTTCAGCATTAGCATACGTATAAACCATCGCCTACTTGAAATTATTTGAAGTTTATATAATAGAAATAAGGTAGATAAATGACATAAAATCTAAATACAGATAAAAGATATATAATAAAATGATCATATTTCAATTTCTTATGTATGCAATCATTATTGATTGGAATTTAGAATATAGATAGTTGTGCGTTTTCGTTTAGAATGGTTTTGCCGCCCTCCATTATGCAGCCAGGGATGGACGGATGGATATTGTCAATTTCCTGTTGAAATCTGGCGCAGATCCAAATATTAAAAACAAGGTTTGGTAAATCTTATCTTGTGGTTATTTTGTCAACTGTTCGTTATCAGATCAAGTATTGTTACGGTATCTAAAGTTTAGATTTAATGTGCACAATAGTTAACTTGCTCTGTTTGATTCATTTCCTTTTTTGGTTGTTTTTGTAATATCAACAGATATGCAAATATGCTTAGACAACTATGATCTAAAATCAACATTTTGTTACCTATTATGTATATACATTAACTGTGAGCTTTTGTAGAAGAAGAAACATTTTTCTTACAAAGGAATCAATTTTTATTTTAGGTAATACATTGAAATAATTACAGTAAATTATTGCAATTTTTTTTCACTCGAAATAAACCGTTCCAAATTGAAATACAGGACGGTGATGCTCCAATTCACGAACTGGTCAAGTATCAACCGATGGACACCATTGAAGAAATGATCACGCTTGGGATGAACGTCAATTTGCAGAACAAGGTGACAGTCATATAAGAAAATAAACAAAAGAAAACATGTCTTTATATAAACAAAACAAATTCAATCTCTATGGTCTTTCTATCTTTATAGATATAAATGAATACTTTTTTATTTTTGTGGGCAAACATATATTTTATAATAAGGAATATTTTAGATCACCTGATAAAAAGCGCTAAATGTGAAATCATTTTTGAATAAAGTATCAAAATTACAAACAAAATTGTATTTTGACTTCCATACAAAGTACTTAATTACTAGAACTGTATTCATTGCCAAAAAAACACAAACGAGCAAATGAATAACTGTTCATAAAAAGTAACAGGACACTTATGATAGAAATCTTTTGAAAACTAAAATTGATAGCATTTTTGAGACTTAATGGACCTTCAATATATGATAATTGAATTTGCTATGCTGATTTATAAGATATACATTAGTCAACATGTCTGGGAGCAAAATACAAGTGCAAGCTTGTACTCACTACTCTTAAATGTTTGTTTTAAAATTTTTAAATGACTACTATTATTGTCTGTTTTTCTTTTGGGTCCTCCTAGGGTCCTTGCCACTGGCTCTTGAATGATTTCCAAAAAATAAAAAAGAAAAATAATGGTCATCTAAACACAATAAATTTTGAAACTAAAATTGATACATTTTCATGATTAATGGCCTTCTTTAAAAAGAATATTGCTATTTGTTTATTATTAACATGTCTTGAAAAGAAAAGATGAAAGCCGTGTCACTACAACACTTAAATGTTAGCTACAGCATGGATTCAGAATTGCGCAGGCTTTAGTTCATTTTTTTTACAGGATTAAAAGTAAGAACACGATTTAGGTAAAGCATGGATACTGATCAAAAACTGGAAACGTGATCCACCGGATGCATTGTCGACAACAAAACTGGATTTGCAGCCGGTTGATTGATCTGTATGAGATAAGAATAATGAATCTATCCCAAACCTTTAGAGTACAATTCACACTTAATATGTTAGTCAACAGTTATGTTGTGCTTAAGGCATTTAATACATTAAGCATTTTAATTTAGCATTTAAGGCCACAGTATTAAAATGAAGCAGAAATTAATTTGTGTTTAGTGTTTAAGCCTAGCTAATGTAATTTGTGTCTTCACAAGTTGTAATTACAAAGGGCACATGATTGCTAATAAACACAATAATAATGGCATCAGGTGAAGAAATTTTAGTGCAGGAAATTTCCATTTTCTCGTATTTAGCTTTTAAGCAGGGTAGTTATCTATAGCAAGCCTTTTTAAGCCTTCATTGTAAGGAATAAAAGATAAAAACAATTGAATTCATTTGCAGTATGAATGAGTTTTCTTTTCTTTTTTTCATACCATTTAATGTATAGCTCGGCCGTACACCATTACATATTGCTGTAGCCAATGGAAGATTTGACGCAGTGGAAACCCTGCTAACCTGTGGTGCCAGGAGCGACATAAAAGATAAAGTAAATTATTTACTTTTTTCATTCTTACCGCGGCAATGACATTTTCACCTTTCTTGTATCGTCCTATTTTACCCAATATTCTTCGAATGATACTATATTGTCACATTGAAGGTGGCTTTATGCTCAATGCCTCCTTAACACTTGTGCGGATGTTGAAATATTTAAAATTTCATAATGGTGCCTTTGATGGTATCTTGAACATACCGCTATCGTAGCCCAATCAAACTAAGCCAGTCTACAGCCTTTTCAATTTTGTCGTTTTGAGTGTTCCACTGGAGCTTCAGTATTTTTTTTATTTTTCATTTTAGACTGAATTTTGAATTGTAACATCCAATATAATTTGTCAATGAGTTGGAATACCCAAATAAACAAAAAACATTGCTTTTGGATATGCATTTTATTTTTATAATACAATTAATTTTACGCTAAATACAACACATGCTTTAAAGGGGAAAGTATTTGTTTAATATTGAGTGAACCAGTACATTCAGATTTACTTCTCTTTCATCAATCTCGAGAAAAGTGCATGTATATAATTGTCACCTTACAAATGACACGGTTTGAATGTACTTATTTGTGTACGGAGGTTAGAGTTGAGGCTGACTGCGTGGCTGAAAATTTGTCGTACATTATACGCCCCCAAGCACCGTCTTAACCAGACTTCAACATTTATATAGATATTAGATCTGGTACGCGCATGAATTAAGAAACATCGACACATTTTGTTAGTTCTTCGGTGAACCATCAATGATATACTGTTCAAGCATTTATTTGACATTTAGGCTTTCGTTGCCAAAATACATGGTGACATCTGCCCTACTTTCAACTTAGTATCGCCCTACTTTCAACTTAGTATCGCTTTTTTGATGGGTTAATGTGGGGAAGGGGATCCTATTATGCACATATGTACTGCAAAATATTTGATTATTCAATAATTTGATTTTAGAACGGCCGTACCCCTGCTGACAGTTGCAAAGATCCACAACTTGTCAAAATGATGAACCTACACTCTCTTACTATGGAGGCCATGAAGAAAGGGTATTTTCTATAACTGTGTTATTTGCACTTACTATTCTCTGTTTAGTATTAGGCTTTGATGTACATGTACATATCTATTCAAAATATCTTAACTAAATAATGAATGGTACTTTCCAGGAAAATCTACTTTTGTGACCAGAAAGTTAACGTACTAAATGTTTTTATTCAATTTAATATGTTCATGGATTATTGTTTATATAACATATACTATAATAATTAATAATCAATAATGGAAATGTGCTCTTTGATTTACAATATCCGAAAGAAATATCCATAAAAATAAGGATCTTTCTTGCGGATATTGTTAATCAACAAGATTCAGATGGTGATTCATATCACGTGATAAGGTCATCGTCATACCTAAAAATTAGAAATAATCATTCATTTAATTTTAGAATTATCATGGCACAAGGGATATCAGTGTCCAAGAAGAATGTCAAGAATAGAATTAACCTTGCACGTGTTGGCGTTGTCCTAGAAACAATATCTATGACCACTGATATAACGGCATCGTTCTATTGCCGACGAGAAAAGTCTGAGAACAGTTCGTGTTCGATCTCCACAGAAAAGGGAGACGAAATGGTCAGTGACGTATTTTTCATAAAGGTAAAATTTTGTACACAATTCCTTTTAAGATTGAAACTTTGTACACAATTCCTTTTAAGATTGAATTTTTGTACACAATTTCTTTTAAGATTGAAACTTTGTACAAAATTCCTTTTAAGATTGAAACTTTGTATGCAATTCCTTTTAAGAGTCAAACTTTTTACACTATTCCTTTAAAGATTCAAACTTTGTACACAATTACTTTTGAAATTGAAACTTTGTATGCAATTTCTATTAAGATTCAAACTTTGTACAAAATTCCATTTAAGATTCAAACTTTGTACACAATTCCTTTAAAAATTCAAACAATGTACACAATTCCTTTTAAGATTGAAAATTTGTACACAATTTCATTTAAGATTTAAACTGTGTACACAATTTCTTTTAAGATTGAAACTTTGTACGCAATTTCGTTTAAGATTTAAACACTGAACACAATTCTTTTTAAGATTGAAACTTTGTACACAAGTCCTTTTAAAATTCAATCTTTGCACTGTTGATGTAACTTAGCTTAGGCTTGACGTAAATATAAAAAATCTAGTAACACTGATATAATTTTGTTGTAACGTTATATAATTCTTTACGTTTATTTTAAACACTTACGTTATTTAGTTTGAGGTTCTGTATACTGCTCTTTCAAATGTTATCATAGGCATGATTATATTTAACGAAATTTATCATAACAATTTTACAAGATAAAATAGTCCCGTAAATGCTTATTTGTCGTCTGCACAACTGCAATCATTTTAAGAAATAAGGTCCTATTTAATGCGTTTGTACCACTTTTTTATCTGACATAATCCTGAGAAGAATAAGTGATTATGATCTTATATACGGAACTTACAGCTTATAATATACATTGTCTTTATGATAATAAGATCACAAATGTGCCAAGAATTTGTGACGTCACATTGACTCTGCCAATATACGGGTTACCGACGGAACAAGAAGAATTGTTCGCCCGGTTTGACTCTGGTACTACTTTACCTGTATTGAGAGTACAGAAAACTGGAGGGGTACGTTTAATAACTGAAATATTCACTTTTTGTATTATCCTTATATACATAGCTTTTTGAAATAAAACCTATAAGTTAATGAAAAGTAGATTAATAAGATAAACATTTACAATGCAAGGCGTTTTTAAACTTTAAGTCATTTTGTACCTAACGAAAGAAAATAACAGAAAATGGACAAAGCTAAACACGGAAAATCAAATCTTTTTCCAGGAAACATTGGCAATGGGTCATCGTTTAATCAAACTTGTAATTAAAAACAGAAAATAGCTAAACATTATGAGTATTTCTCTATAATACTATGGATCCCTGTACTTGTTAAGGGAAATTTATGTTCCCGGAAATAGTAATTATACATAATCAATACATTGCATTTCATACTGAGATTAGGCACGTTTATTTTTGAGAGACATAGAAAAATTGCAACATCTCTCAGACACCCTAGCACCGCCTTTGTCCAGTACTCCGGCTTTTTGATATATACTTACATATATTCATAATTACTCCGAGTAAAATGGTTTTAAATGTCTATTCGAACAACAACTGGTAATAGAAGATAATATTTCAGGAAAAGACATGCACGTTTGATACAAAACTTACCCCTGATACTTTCTCAATCTTTGCATTATTCACAAGAGCAAAGACTGATGTTAAAAACGTCGGACAGGAAGGAGGGGTGATTACAACAGATGCTGGTGAAGGAATGCGTCTAGAAATCCCTCCGGATACATTTACAAAGGAAGCAAATATTTCACTTAAAGTAAAGTGTATTTTACTTTTTAAAACATACGTGTGAAGGAATTTTGTTACACGAAACTTTCAATATTTTACTTCATTTCATTTTTTTTGTAAGGAACATAGCTTGCTTAATACAATTCCGGTGTAATTTGATCTTTCGTATTTATCTAAATAAGACATTTTTGCAGGCAGTTTTTCTGCTTTTCACTAAAATGCATGAGAAAAGTATTGCTTGCTTACAAAAAAATGAACTGTGGCTAAATGGTACATCGACCAAACGCGTGTTAATACTATTATTTTTTTACCACATTTACTTAATTGACAACACGTGCTGATAAGTCATCGAATCGAGCTAGTGCAAGATGACATAAATCTAATAGCATACGTCACAAAAAAAAACTTTTTAAACTTAATTATGAGCGGCACATTTGTAACACAAGGGGTTCTTTATTTGTCATGATATGAGCCGCGTCATGACAAAACCAACATAATGGGTTTGCGACCAGCATGGATCCAGACCAGCCTGCGCATCCGCGCAGTCTGATCAGGATCCATGCTGTTCGCTATTAGTTCCTCTACTTGTTATATGGTCTGTAAGCGAACAGCATGGATCCTGATCAGACTGCGCGAATTCGCAGGCTTGTCTGGATCCATGCTGGTCGCAAACCCATTATGTTGGTTTTGTCGTGACGCGGCTCATATGTTTTTCTTGTTCAGGTATTTCCGACAGAAAATGAGACAACGGAGACTGACGTCACTATGCTCACTGACGTCTACAACATCACGTCAGATGTTTCTGACAATCAAAACAGCATGAAATTGAGGTTACCGATGCACAACTGTGTTAATCTTGATGCCGCAGACGACATGCTTTTAATTACAGCAGACGACATTACTGATGATAGCGATGAAAATTGTCTTCAAGTGATTGACACAAAACCTACAGTGGGGAACATGTCAATTGAATATGAGATCCCTCATTTTAGCATGTAAGCAAATTCTTAGAAATTAGTTTAATTTATATAACTCATAGGTGTGTTTTTGTTAAGTGGCCCTTCCCGCTTCTTTCTGACTATTTTTTTATTCTTTTTGGATTTTATGTCACAGCAAATCTGACAGATTATTTAGGGGCTTTCAAATCGTACTGATTGGAAAAAGGACCTCGTTCATTTTAAAGCGGGTTTATGGATAGAAACAAGTATTTGACGTAAGTTTACTTGATGTGTACGTCTGAAATACACGGTAAAAAATACAGGCCAACTTCCATAGCACATCAACAATTCCCCCCGAAGACTTCAGATGTTTTAGTCACGCCAGTACATTATATAACAAAATTTAGTTTTCCATAAATTTATTCATTATTATAACATTCAACTTAACAAAAATGAATACAAATTCAGAGCAATAAATAGGGCAAAGACCTTATAAATTGTATTCATGTTAATCTGATAGTTAAAATATTACTCAGCGACTTTGCTATTTCAAATAAGTGCAGAAATAGAATTTCAAATATCAAATTTAATTTCAACATTAATAACATTATAATTATCTCATCTCATCTCGAAACATAATTTAGTGAAAATGTAAATTTTAATGTTTTAAATCAAAATCAAACCAACATTCACAGTCACAAATGTTGCATACAATCTTGTCTTTGCCAATCAGTACATTTTAAAAGAAACACGCCCAATATTAATCTTAGATAACTATAAAAAATGCATTTTATGTTCTTCAGTTTTTAGATTTCACAAACAATTTAAGTGATATAGGCATATTTGTTGGCATATTTATATTTCACGCTCATATCCAAAATACTAATAAACCATTTCACAGTTAACGCATCATTTTACAAAAACAGTTTACTTTAATTTTCTGCACTATAAAATATGAGTTGAACTCTAAGCCTGCATTGCAGCAACAAGTTTTACATGTGCGACTTGTACTGACCAAAAACAGGCGGTAAATCTTGGCCATCCTACTGTTACAATGAAAAATTGTTATGTACTTTAACGATATTTAGTTTAGTAGAAAAAAGTTAGGGACATGACTGCTGTTTTCTGATTAATTAGAACTAAAATATATGTTAAATAAGCAATTTGTTTACGTTTCTTTCATCATATAAAATACTTTTCAGGAAATATCTGTACTAAGCAATGAGCGTACAGTTTCAGTTTCTTGATTAATGAAACAACGGCTTGAGTAGGTTTTAAGCCACGCGGACAAAGATCCTTTGATTACTAGTCCGACACGTTAACCACTCGGTCATGCCGCCAAATTTTGCATTCATACCAGTGGAGAAATATGAACCATTCTGAATATTTTACTTTTTCTTTTCCAACTTTTAGCCATGTAGTGGTATCACAAATGCAGTTCAAGGAAAATAAAAAGAGCATATTTGACAGACTTGTCAGCGCCACGGAGAGACAAAGAACTGCAGTGTTCTTTGCTGTTGTTAGACACGAAAATAACAAAATGTGTCCGATGATATCAGTAGAATGTTGCCTAGCAAAACAGGCGCCAAAAAGGATAGAAAAATGGGTCTCCAAAGGCTATGTTACCCAGGTGAATTGTCGATATTTTAGCTTGTATAAACGTAGTTGAATTAACATAGTCAGCTCGATATACGACTATATTTTGCTAGATTATCTTTAAGGCGTATGCTAGACATGAAAGCTGTATAATATACTTAATTTAGACTTTGCCTGATCTAAGAAAATGGTTATAGAAGTGTTTTTAGCAAAAAAAGCGGTTTTTTATGAAAACTGTAGCATACGCCATAACGTTGCATTTACAAATTGTTAATTTTGTTAAGTTTAAACGTTTTAATTAACAAAGTTCACTTGTAAAAGTAATTCCATGTAATTTGATTTAAAAACTTTAAAAAACATGAGACATTATTTATCTAAAATTATTCTGTTAACAAATCACCTATCAATATTACTTTCCACCAACTGCTAAATACTCTTAAAGGCACTATATGCTAAGAAATCCATTTCTTTAATTCTCAAGAAATGTCAAACATGTGTATAATAATGTTTAAATAATAGATTAAGTGCATGTTAGATGTTTTACAACTGAAAAAGGTAGCGCTGATCACGCAGTTATGTGTCGTAAAGGTAGCAAAATGTTAACACAGTAGTATTTTGACTTCCATACAAGATATTTATTCACTATAATTATGCCCATTGCCAACAGAACTAAAGATACAAAACATAGTTCAGGTATATATAGCAAATGAGTATGTTTTTGGAAACTGTAACAAGATACCAAAATAAATATAAAAAATAAAATGACAATAGGCGTTTAAAACACTATCAAATATCAAAATACACCGTCAGGCAAAAAAAAAGAATTTGATCTAACATTCCTGTTTTTTTGCAAGGATTTGGAGCAATCTGGAAGTTTCCTTTTCAAACCTTACCAAGAATTTCTGGTATATCTTGACGGTGTTAAAACGGAGGACAGTACTGGGAAAAGAAAGCTTGCGTTTCTCCCCAGACGACCTAGCTTCCAGCCATATAGGTAAATATATATCCATTCTACTTTCTATAAGTTCATGATCACTGCCTTAAAATGGTGGTTAGTAACTCATATCAATTTATTGAATAATCAGTTACATTTTAAGCTGGACCAAAAGCCGATGATAAAGCAGTTGTGTATGGTAGCTAAAATTTCAATACTTCTGTGCATAAAAAAAGTTTAAACAAACCGAACCTACAACGTGGTTGCCATACCTGAATTCAGTGTTGTTATATTTTTCTGGTCCTTCAGGATCATTGATTCTAGCACGTTTAGTATTGAAGATTGGATGTCACTTCATAGACAGGACTGATTTTGAGAATTTGGCTCTCTATAAGATGCTAGAGGCATTTTGTAGTACAAGTGGTATCTTGGTGTATTTTACCTATTTAAGGTATGCTGAATCCGATAAAGGTGGATACCAAATTGAAAAACCTGATCTTGACCATTGAAATTGCCATTTAAAATGACCATTAGAATGGCCGCCAAATTTCTTTATCATAAATGGATGATATATCAAATAAAACTTTAAAGGAAAGGAAAAGCCTGAAATTTGTCACAAAGCATGTTTAGGTAAAAACAAATTAGACACCAAAACAGAATTTAAAAAAAACAAATTTAATATGGCCGAAAAATCCAAGGTGGCGGACATTTTTAGTAATATAGAAGTAATATTAAAGATAGTACTGAAAATTTTAAGGCATTTAAACATAAGAGACAAATTTAAGAGATAAAATTTCTAGAAAGTCCCTATTCCTTTGAACCATCACTATATTTAGGGTTTACGCAGCGAACACTACACTCTTCCCTGCCCTATCTGCTAGATATAGAGTTTTCATGTATTTTATCTGGCACTCTATGTGTGAGGGGGTTAAAACGTGTGCATGCAAAATATACATTAATTAAAGGAACCTTTCTATGAGTACTCTTGGACTTTGGTGTTCGTTTTTCTGTTATTGGTCGTCGTCTTCGTACTTCTGTTATCGGTTCTCGTCGCATTTCTCTGTTGTCAGTTATTCTGTTATTGGTCGTCGACTTTCGTTCTACTGTTATCGGTCCTCGTCGCAGTTCTCTTGTTGTTAGTTCTTCTGTTATTGGTCGTGATCTTCGTTCTTTTGTAATCGGTCCGGTCTTAGTTCTTTTTTTTTGTGAGATGTTCTGTTATCGGTCCTCGTCTCCGTTTTTCTGTTATCGGTCGTCGTCTTCATTGTTCTATTATCGGTTCCCGTCTTTGTTCTTCTGCGTACTTCTGTCATCGGTTCTCGTCTCTATTTTTCTGTAATCAGTCTTGGTCTACGTTGCCTTGTTATCAATACTTCTGTTATGGGTGCTAGTCTCTATTTTTCTGTAATCAGTCTTTGTCTACGTTTTCTTGTTCGATTCGTTTGTCATCGGTGCTAGTCTCTATTTTTCTGTAATCATTCTTGGTCTACGTTTCCTTGTTATCAATTCTTCTGTTATCGGTGCTAGTCTCTATTTTTCTGTAATCAGTCTTGGTCTACGTTTTCTTGTTATCAATTCTTCTGTCATCGGTGCTAGTCTCTATTTCTCTGTAATCAGTCTTGGTCTACGTTTTCTGGTTATTAATTATTCTGTTAACGGTGCTAGTCTCTATTTTTCTGTAATCAGTCTTGGTCTACGTTTTCTGGTTATTAATTCTTCTGTTATCGGTGCTAGTCTCTATTTTTCTGAAATCAGTCATGGTCAACGTTTTCATGTTATTAATTCTTCTGTTATCGGTGATAGTCTCTATTTTTCTGTAATCAGTCTTGGTCTACGTTTTCTTGTTCAATTCTTCTGTTATCGGTGCTAGTCTCTATTTTTCTGCAATCAGTCTTGGTCTACGTTTTCTTGTTATTAATTATTCTGTTATCGGTGCTAGTCTCTATTTTTCTGTAATCAGTCTTGGTCTACGTTTTCTTGTTATTAATTCTTCTGTTATCGGTGCTAGTCTCTATTTTTCTGTAATCAGTCTTGGTCTACGCATTCTTGTTATCAATTCTTCTGTTATCGGTGATAGTCTCTATTTTTCTGTAATCAGTCTTGGTCTACGTTTTCTTGTTCAATTCTTCTGTTATCGGTGCTAGTCTCTATTTTTCTGCAATCAGTCTTGGTCTACGTTTTCTTGTTATTAATTATTCTGTTATCGGTGCTAGTTTCTATTTATCTGTAATCAGTCTTGGTTTACGTTTTCTTGTTCAATTCTTCTGTTATCGGTGCTAGTCTCTATTTTTCTGTAATCAGTCTTGGTCTACGTTTTCTTGTTATTAATTCTTCTGTTATCGGTGCTAGTCTCTATTTTTCTGTAATCAGTCTTGGTCTACGCATTCTTGTTATCAATTCTTCTGTTATCGGTGCTAGTCTCTATTTTTCTGTAATCAGTTTTGGTCTACGTTTTCTTGTTCAATTCTTCTGTTATCGGTGGTAGTCTCTATTTTTCTGTTATTAATTCTTGTCTCCATTGTCATATTGTCAGTTCTTCTGTTATCTGTCTCTGTCTATGTTCTTCTGTTATCGGTCCTCGTTTCTGTTCGCTTGTTGTCAGTTGTCCTGTTATCGGCCCCTGTCTCTGTTCTTCTGTTACCGGTCCTCGTCTCTATTCGCTTGTTGTCAGTTCTTGTCTCCGTTCTGCCTTCTGTAATCGGTCGTCGTCTTCGGTCTTGTACTTTCGGTACTTGTTTCTTGTTCCGTTAAGGTCTTCTCTTTTATCTATCGTTGCCGTCATGCTGTGTCGATGTCCTGGTTTTGTCAGTCTTGTAGTCATTTTATTCGTTCAGTGGAGTAGCGGGGGATCGAACTCACGACCCCTTGATTTGTAGGCAGACAGTGTTACCATTACACCATAGCGCCCGCTCTGAATAATAACCATTTTTGAAAGTCCTTTATACATTAAATACTATTTCAATGGCTAACAAAGGGTGTATTACAATTATATTTTAACACCTCTACTATGTAGCCAACCCACGTGACTTTTATACATGGGGCAAAGAAAATATTACTCGATTTAAGTAATATTTGTATACATAACATTGCCGTTACTTTAAGATATCCTCGAAATTTATTGGAAGGTACCCGGAATTCTGATGTATATCAAATGATGCGATAATCTTCTTGTAGATATTTCTCAAAACCGTGACTGACTTCCAAAATTTTCGAGAGCTGCCATGGTAAAGCAAGCACACGTAGAAATCTCCCGGTTTCAGACATTTTATGACTCGATGAAAATATGGTGTTGTTATTGTTGTTGTTGTTTTTAACTTTAACTTTAAATTTCAAATTAAATCGTCACTTATTTGTAAACAAGATGGTAAACATTTGTTGTTTTCTGTATTTTTGTTAAGAATGTTATCAAGTATACACTTCTCAGTTTAAGACGACTTTTTAATATCATCGATTATCCATCATATACCTTAATACAGTTATAATTGAATCTAAAAAATGAATTATGCAGATATTATTTTCGGCAGAAAACAACAAATACAAACAAAACAACACACAAAAACTTACATACATGTGTAATGTTCACAATGTGCTGAAATCGGCTCTTTATTAATTTTAACATTTCAGCAAGTGACACATTTTATAAAAGAATGGGACAGAAATGTTGTTGTAACCATTTAAAAAGTAGGATTTGTAAATTTTTTAGTTGGATATTTTTTACCTAGTTCGCTCAACACTCAATTAACACATTTTTATATATAAACCTGGGGTACAGAAATAAACCTGGGGTACAGAATATTGACAGAAAACAACTTTCATAGATTGAGATAGAGCCATAATGTCGTAGATATTTGGGTTACAAAAAGTTTTTAAATAACTGTTAATTGAGCCATTAGGCTTATAATCATTATATTTATTGGCCAATCACATTAAAATCAGATCATATTGAATAATCATTTGATTTTGACAATAAATTAATTGCATCATATTGTATCATAATTTTTTAATGGCATATTTTAGTTTTTTTAAGCGGCCATTTTAAATTGACCTTTTATTTTCTTGGTATCCACCCACATCGTCCTCAGCATACCCATATTAGGTTAAAACACTCAAGATATTACTTGTTCTGTAAAATGCCTCTAGATCTAGCATTCATTTTTTCTTAAAATCAGTCCTGTCTATCAGCCGGTGCTAGACTCAATTAAACCTAAATGTGCATGTACTGTTGTCGTTTTCATTGCTTCCGAGGGATATCTCTTTCACGGAATTAGTTATTATTTGTCACGAAAAAAACCAACATAATGGGTTTGCGACCAGCATGGATCCAGACCAGCCTGCGCATTCGCGCAGTCTGATCAGGATCCATGCTGTTCGCTTACCAACCCTATTACAAGTAGAGAAACTGATAGCGAACAGCATGGATCCTGATCAGACTGCGCGGATGCGCAGGCTGGTCTGGATCCATGCTGGTCGCACACCCATTATGTTGGTTTTGTCATGACACGGCTCATTTCTTTATTTCCTCTAGTTTTGAAGAGTACATATACAATATTATTACCCCTCACTTTTTTCGTAATGCTAATTTCCCATAGGCCTCTGGGAGTTATTTTTACTGTTAATGCAAGAATTTTGTACTGTTACATAGGTAACAGTGTTTTTAACAGTATAAAATCTGGTCACGTGGTCTATTTTCTAAATAAAATGAAATAAAATGGCCGCCATTTTTTTCTCGATTAATTCTTTTTCTCGACGTTAAACCCCGATAGGACATCTATTTCTTCTCTGAAGTAACTATGACACTCATAAAATTTAGTTGTTCGCACCCTGGTGTGCTTTTCGCGTATAAAATATCTTTTTGTTGAATAGTCAAAAAGTAAACATCCGTTTTCAACGGAAGTAATTGCAATATAAATAATTATGTGTCAAACTGGAACTTGCAGACGATTTAAGCATGCAACAAAGGATTTTTTAACAATTTTAATCAGTGAAACGTTACAGATATGATGGACAGACATAGGATATCATCGTTATTTTGTCAAAAAACATGCTAAGGATATTCTGGAAACAGAAGGGTCAGATTTCACAGATCATAACCGTGTAAATGGGTTAGTGTTTTGTTTTCTAAATAAAACCTAGCTTATTGTATGTTTATGATTTGTAGATATCATCACTTGCTTAAAGAATAAAATAAAAAGAAAACTTCTCAAGTAGGCCTAAAGTACACTTAAAACTTAAAAGGTAAGGACAGTTTAGTTATTGTTACTCTTGGTTTATTTTTGTTACAGTTAGATTTAGTTGACAATTTCAGATCATCACAGTATTTTTGTTTGGGGTAATAAAATAAATAACACATGGGTTTGTGAGTAACAGTAAAAATATCATACCTCGTAAAAATACTGTTACCCTCGAGTATCAGTATTTTCCTCGGGATGAAATTTTTACTGTTACCCACAAACCCATGGGTTATTTATATACAAATCTATTACAAAAAGTACATAAATCACTACATTTACGTCAATGTATGACTCACAAACATGTGAATGCAATTATATAAATGTAAAAAATACGTATGGTGATGTCCAGATTAAAAGATGGGCAAGTCCATTTAAAAAAGTAAGTTTAACGGTAAGGGTAGGTTCATCTCACTAACGGGTTATCATTTTTGTGTTTCAAGACTCATTTTTCATGCATACAAATACACAAAGCAAACACACAAAGCAGCGAAATATTTTACTTTATATGATGTTGGTTCCAAATTAAGAAAATACTTTACTTTAAAATTGTTAAATGTTGGTTCCATCCGATTGTTGTTTTTTTGTGTCTTTTCAAGAATCCAACTGGAGACAAACACAGAGAGTTTTGTTGAAGGAAGTGTCATGATACACAAATGTTTCAACGATGACAAAGATGTTTCACAGGACAACGAAGTTGTAACAGCTTTGCCTTTCTTCATCAAACTGAAAGAGGAAAATGCAAATAGTGAAATGGATGGTAATTAAATCAGATATTAGGTTAAATAGTTTAAAGTCACTACATGTCATCACAGTTTTCTAGATATAATTAGAAATAAAAAAAAGTTGCAAAAAGATGAAAAGGTTTTTCTCGTAAATGAAATGTTTCTTATCACACGACATGTTTTATTTTCAATGTATAATAATATTTAATACGTACATACAGTTAAACTTTACGGTAACGCTACTGGACCCAAATGTCATTTACCTTTGCAACCATTATAGATTTCGGAACAATTTGCGTATCCACAATTGATAAATTAATGTAAAGTTTCATATATAGACAATATCCCTTAATTACCTTTGCAACCATTATAGATTTCGGAACAATTTGCGTATCCACAATTGATAAATTAATGTAAAGTTTCATATATAGACAATATCCCTTAATTACCTTTGCAACCATTATAGATTTCGGAACAATTTGCGTATCCACAATTTATAAATTAATGTAAAGTTTCATATATAGACAATTCCCCTTAATAATTAAAAAAAAAACATCAGCAGTGTATAGGTCTATATAAAAAATCGCCTGATGATTTTGTCTGTCTTTATACGTTTTTGGCTTTGTTATTGCTTGTGATGTTAATAATTGTGTAAACATTTGTTCTCCAAAGCTCTTTTTGAAAATACATATTATGCCTCAGAAATCCACATTTTTATTAATTGTCAAGAAATGTTAAACATGTGTTTAATAATGTTTAAAATTGGATTTGATTTAGACATGTAAGATATTTTACAACTGAAGAAAGTAGCACTGAACGTAAAGTTATGCGTCATAAAGGTAGCAAATGTAAAATAATATTTTGAGTTTCATACAAAACACTTATTCTCTATACCTATTGCCAACAAAGCAAAGAAAGAAAAAGATAGTTCATCCATGTTGCAAATAAATACCTATATTTTTGAAACAGTAACCAGATACCAAAAATAAAAAAAAGTTTATGATTATTAAAAATGATAGCTTTTCTGAGGCATAATTTGCCGTTTTGTACCATATTTGGATATTAACTCAGCGTATATCCTACATATAACATCCTCTATTCATAATCACCACTTATCGTTTTGTAAATGTTTGTTGTTTTGTTATAAAGTCTAGCTTTTTTCATATAAACAGAAATGTATTGAATCATGCTTTGTATCATACTCTCAAATCCCACTCATATTGGGAGATTTTGTTTATCATGTCTGTGTAAAACCAATTTAATTGTTTGGGGTTCCTTCACATGTTTCACATGTTTGTATTGTTACTTGGTTTGAATGTTTGCATGTTTTGTGATATCTACCATATTGAATTGTCGTTAGCGTAGGTATTTTCTACCCCCACCCCTTCTCCCATTTTAGACCCCTCTTTTCACCCTTATAGGCCTTGTCCCTTTAATTCCAATTTGGGCCCGTTTTAGTTTTAATTATTTCACACATAGCTTGGCCCTCTTCTCCTTTCGCCGCCCTTATGTCCTCTCTCAATTTTGGTTTGGTGTCTTCTGGGTGCCCTCCTGTTGTAGCTTGGGTGTATCGGGGACTGCGTAATGTGAACCTTGTCTTTGCCTTGTTGATCTTTATTCTCGTTTTTTATTATTAGTAAACCATTAATCATGTTTAGATCCAGCTTCATCCGATTTAACACAAGCAGTGACAGTGGCCAGTCAGATTCAAGAATGTCAGACTGGGGAAACAAATCAACCTTCTGATTCACCAAGCGAAGCAACCGAAAAAAAGGTACAGCAAGATTTAGAAGTAGACGATGAACGTGCCTCATTGGATGGCATCGACGTTGAAACTGCTACAGGGAAACTAGAAAGTTCAGGTGAATTTGCTACAAAGAAACTAGAAGTTCCAGGTGAATTTGCTACAAAGAAACTAAAGCTTCCAGGTGAATTTGCTACAAAGAAACTAGAAGTTCCAGGTGAACTCCATACCAGCGACGGACATAAAGAGCCATGTGCTCTTGATACCATTAAGAGAACTGAGGAAGGAGAACATTGTAGTAAACCTAAGGACAGTGAACAAATGGATACGTCAGGTACAGACATCGCGTTAACTAGAACCTTCTATTGCCGCACATTAGATACAATATAATTATTCCATTATGATTATATCGTATGTTCTAATCACAAATTTGTTTCATAAGAAATTATTGCATGAAGTAGCAGCCATATAATATTAGGGTCTGTCTTTCAATAATTGTTCTAAAATCCAAAGAATTTTTTTTTTGTTCTTGTTTGGTCTATTTAGATAATTTAAAGATCATTTGATAGACATGGTGCTTATGTTAAGGATAATAATTAAAAATTTTGCACGGCTTTAGCTGGTTGATTTATATGTTGTGGGTTAGTTCAAAGAGATGTACAATTGAATTGAATTCAAAGGCACATTATGGCTCAGAAACATTTTGTTTTCTTTAAGCGTTTTTATAACAAAAGAATGGCGTTAGAGCAAATCACATGCTGATCTCCTGAGAGTAAAGGTTTGAATGTGAAATTATTTGACATAATAGAAGCGAAATGTAGTGGTTTGACATCAATACAAAATACTAAATCATTTTAATGGTGATAAATGTCAGAAAGTAATAGAAGCAAAAGATGGTTCAAACAATGACTTTTAAAAAGTATTTTTTTTAGAAATAAAGATATATTGCATTTCTGAATAGTAAAAGGCCTTTAAGAAAAATATCAAAAAAGATTGTATGCTATTTTCTTAATAGGCTTTATAGCAAAGTACATTTCATGGAATCGATCACAATTTAATCTTTAATCTTCCGTTTCACGGTTTTTATCTTTTTATTTCATACAGTCACGAGATTTCTATATTCATTCACTGCATAAATGTTGCTGTATTTAATATTGCAATAATCAAACACTTATTTTTGTTTCTCCTAGAAAAATGATACCAATGTTTCATTATCTCATGGAATCTTGGGATTTTATTGATAATTTTTTTATGTGTTCAAACATCTCTGTCAGGTTTGAAAAAAATCTTAAATAACTATTTAAATTAGCTCAATTACATTTTATATAACGTTGTAACATTTCAATTGTTTTTTTGATTTACATATTTAAAGGTATTATATATGTTGAATTTAGATAAATAATGACGTCTTGATTCTTGTTATATACTTATATTTTTGTCCCCTTTTATTTAATTTTTATTTCTTAGGAATTAATAAGCAATTTACATATTGTTTTTTGAAAGTACATTAAACGTTTTTCCAAATACATACTGCTTTTATGAATTAATCATCTTCTTATCTTAAATGCTATCACGTTTGTTGTTGTTGTTTTTTTAGTGTTGTTTTTTTTGTTTGTTTGTTTTTTGTTGTTGTTTTTTTTCTTTCTTGTTTTTTTACAAAAATCTTTTATTTTGGTGTATCTGTACCACTTTTCAAAACGGTAATCACTGGCCATATTTTTGACTGTGATCAATATTTTGCTTTTTAGTCATTAGTAAAATTATAGTGATTTTTTATGGAAAACAAGATACCGCTTTATTCATTTTATAGATTATAGATTATAGTTAATGCTGAGACTTCACGTGCCTCGGTATTTTTTAAAAATTCTACAATACTATAATCATTATTCTTCATAACATCATTATGACCCAATTTCTTTCACTCCAACATTTGTATTTCAAATAATAACCTTATTTGTATATCACATAGAATAACCTTATTTATATTTCACTTAGAATAACCTAATTGTATTTTACATAGAATAACCTTTTTTGTATATCACTATTTGTATGTCACATAGAATAAACCATTTTTATATTTCACATAAAATAACTTTATTTGTATTTCACATGGATTAATTTTATTTGTATTTCCAGCTAGCTTACGGAACGTCGGTGGTTCTACTCAGGTGCCCCGTTTGAAGGGTATCTGAGGTCTTCCTCCACCAGTAAAGCTGAAACGTCGCCATATGACCAAAACTGTGTCGGTGTGACGTGAAACCCAATTAAACAAACAAACTAACAAATTTGAATTTCCCAAAGAATAACCTTATTTGTATTTCACACAGAATAATCTTATTTGTATTTCACACAGAATGATCTTATTTATATTTCACACAGAATTATCTTATTTGTATTTCACACAGAATTATCTTATTTGTATTTCATATAGAATAACTGTATAACCCCACACAAAGCACTCAACGACCTCAGCTTCTGTCGAATGTATAAATTTCAACCGATGATGTTTTTTTTGTTTTCAGAAAAGAAGAAACCTAAAGCTTGGATACTTCCAGATTATTTAAACGAATGAAGAAACATTCATATAATGTACTTAACATGTGAAAGACAATCGTGAAAAAAATATCATTGGATATTGATATTCATATGTGCTCTCAAAACGGAACGATAAAATCCGTATCTCACCGACAACACATATTGATATATTTATATCATGGTGATTCCATGGAAACTGACGATGCTTTTTTGTATAACATCCAAAAATACCTTCCTACTGGTCGCCATTTTATTTGTTATTCATTGTTGATGTAATGAGATATTATTAAACCTCTTACAATTTCTCCATGTAAAGCTGTTAAAAAAAATATTTTTGAATAGTTTTGAATAGTTTTCTTTCTGCTTCTTTTCGTATTTTTGTCAATATAAATTATATGTAAATATATTTTCTACGTAATGGCGCCACATTTATCAAGGGAGCTAAATATTGTAAAGATCGTGACAGATCTTTAAGATTGTTTCTTTATATGAAATATAAAGCACAGTTTGATATCAGTTTTAATACATGCACCCACAAACGTGTGTCTTTTGTAAACTTGTGAATTTCATCAGTTCACGTCATAAAATGATGTTAACCTATTACTCTCGGACATTTTAAACTTCTAATTCTGTCATTTTGTCATCCGTATGGTAACTGTTATACAAAAGTGTGTCTTCTAAATTTTATCATTTGACGTCAAAAAATAGTGTAAAGCTATTACTTTCAGATTCTTTGAACTTCAAATTTTTAGTACATTTTCATCTGTACAAACAAGTTATTTTCGTCATAAGTATAAAAAAAAGTTATCTTAAGTATCAAAAGTTAGCTTAAGTATTTTGTGAAGGAAAACTTTTAGTCATGTCATTACCAAAAGGGTCTCCGCACATTGCATGAGCATTGAAACCATACAAAATGGTACGAATAGGATTGACAGAGGTGAAATATGTGTCAGTCTAAAGATAATATTATAGAGGATGAATTTCATATATATGATACGTGTATAAGAAAACATTACATAGATAAATATTACTATGAAAACTATGTAAACTTATTCACCGGCTTTCAATATTTAACGAAAATAATGTTGACTGACTTTACTCGTTTAGTAAAGTGTGCTTTAAAGCTGAGCATAACGTTTTGTAAGGAATTGAAAATAAAAAATGTTTATATTCCATGTATTGCAATGTAAGTTTAGGACATAAATGCATGATAAGAAGATATTGATGTATGTTTTAAACATTCTTTTGTCATATGTACAATTGATATTATCAGTAATGTATATATTATATATTTTACACAGTAATATATGATCATGTCAGGTAATTAAGGTGCGAAATGCCCCAGTCAAAAGATAAAAAAATCGTGTTCTTTTCTGTTCTGTTATAAACCAGTTTTATATACCTTGTGAAAATGAAAGGAGTGAATATTATAACAAACATGTGGATTTTCTGTCAAATCAGCTCTTTGATTATCATCTTTGCCGTAAAGCGTTTTCATATTGAGAGGCAAAACAATCGGTTAAAAGCTTTCATGATTTTTACACGCTTTTATGGAAGATATTAATCAATTAGTTTTGTTTTAACTCATTTCTCTTTACATATCAACAGACGCTTCAACATCAGTATGTTAGCCGATGCAACCATTTGTCATTCAGTTTCATATTTAACTGAAACGCCGGTTTCGTCACGCTTTGCTGCATCAGTAAACCTCACGTGATTGCTAGGTATATCATGTGACCCAAAATGGAGGCTTTGTAAACACTTTTATTTGTTATTATTACAAAATGTTCTTTTTTAAGTTAATTTTTCACTTCTTTCTTTTTTTGGAATTTAATTGAAATCATATATAATCTAATATTGCACAAAGTATCAAATTTCAATCTGCTCTTTGACGGCATAATATTACTTGTGGGGGACTGATCAGGGGTAGTAACCGCTACTAGGAGTTTGTAAATATTTAACTTAGCGATTTCTCCGTGCTTTACAAATTGCATAAAGATTGTTTCATATATATCTTTTATTTTCATTTTATTTTGTGTATATATTAAATGCATGCTTTTACATTTGTAATATTCTGTATAAACATTTTGTTTACATTGAATAAAGTTTTTTTTTGGTCAAAATCTTTAGAGATTTATATAAATAGAGTGTCAATATACTGTATCAGAGATTAAGGAAACTGGTTAGGTGTTAAAAGATCTACTAGGTCTATTACGTAATGTTGTCAAATAAGGGCAGTAATGGTGTTGTCAAAACAACTTTATATTTGCCTGAAATAATTGAATTATCCATTTGTAGATGCGCCAAGTCTTCTTTCCAAGGACCTCCGTGAAGTTTGTATGATACCATAATCTGAAAAATGGCGGCGTGCCCGAGTGGATAGCATGTCGGACTAGAAATCAAAGGATTGCTGGCCGTCTGGGTTCGAATCCAGTCGGGGGGCAAGCCGTTGTTTCCTTGAGCAAGAAACTTTGCATTTATTGCTCAATACTGATTGGTTCCAGGAACGGATTTGAGAGTGTTTTAATAAGCTTACAGTTTCCAACACAATGGAACTAAATTAATTTGTATAAACTAAATATAGCAATTTCCCTTATCAAGTCATAAATGAAAAACTAGAAATTTAGTATTACACTTTTATTTTTTTTACTACAGAACATTTTGATAAAACTGTCAACAATAGTATTAAACAAAGTTTTTGTATGTATAGATATTTAATAATGATTCAAATCTTAATATAATCAATTGAACTAATTATAAAATGTATGAGGCCAACAGGAAAAAAAAAGATAATACAAAAATATAATAATTGACTACATAGAAATGTTCTTTATGTTTATCAAAAATCTGTTTCGACCAAAATAAATTGTTCGCATATAGTCGTTCATACATGTTAAGATTTAAACATCGTGCGGAGAAAAAAGAGAATAATTTTGTAATGTTAGAGTACTGTTTGGAATCAATCTGGAAACTCAAAAAGTTGAAGAATAATAATACCATTAAAGAAATAAAACACTAAAAGAAACACCAATGGACTCTTGTGCAAAAACAACAACAATATTTTCTACTTTTTTTTCCTTTTCTTTCACAATGGCAACTTTACTACAGTCATGCAGAAGCACAAAATATTCACAATAAAACATCAAAAGAAAATGCCAAATTTCTTAAATGCTTGTACGCGGTTTCATAAAAGTTTAAGACTAAATTGTTGTTTAATATTGGGATCACAAGTAAACAAAACAATCTGAAGTGCAGCATCTGGCAGAGCGGAGCGGCCCTCTGTTCGAAGCGCACATAACCCCCTTTTCAACAACAGTACCAAATACATTTGTATTCATTCCAGAAGGTAAACCGTAACACAGAACTTAGGCTTTAAAACGCAACAGCTTTCGGCAACAACCCAAATCCAAAATACCTGTCTCACAAATTAAGCTGCTCTGCGAATGATGTACTGATATGTTATTTCAGAAACTGTTTTACATTGTTTTCATCTTTAATTGGCATTTCTTGGAGTCTTGACTTAGTATGTCTTTTTTATGGAACAAAATAAAGAGTTGCCGAACAAAATATTGCTATTTTTTTAGTCGGGTTCCGCCTAACCCATCTCGATCCACGCTTGACACTAACCAGTCTTTTCTGCAGTTTACACACTTAAGTTCATCACAGCTTAAAAAAAGTTTAAAACAAAATTACATCTTTTTTTTTAATTCTAACATTAACACTGTAACTTTAAAAACTTAAAACAACAACAAAAATACTGGGGATATTATCTTTCGTTCTTTTTTATCCTTTGATGTAAGTGAAATTTAGTAAATTATTATATATCTCAAATGTTTTATGAACAGTTGATAGATCTCTAAGAAAATACATTCGTAACAAAAATCAGATAAAACTTTAGGTATTACGAACACAACATTTGTCAGATACACGTCTAGTTACGTCTAGATACTTTCAATAAATCACCCTTAACAAAAATATGAATGACAAATTTTAGAAATTAAAAAATAATATTAACAATCAAAGAGACCGATTTCAAGATTCTTGCAAAATATGATTGAATTGGTTACTTTTTATCACCAAAGCTCTACCATTTTACTAAAAGAGCAATTGTGTCACCATATTTCTACGATTTTATTAAAAGAAAAATCAAAGCTATTTATGCATATCGATCTTTGGATCTATAGATCTGTTATTTTTAGCCCGGCCCCAAACACCACATAAATGTTTACTATTTTCAGCTGTTCTTTATCAATTAAAAAAAAACAACCCTTAAATGATGCTGCATAATAAAGTTCATGATTTGATTTCAAAACAATCTTACTCCAACAAACATCATGATTGTGTTTAGAAAATAGAATCCCAACGTTAAAGGCAAATATAAATACTGAAAAAAAATACAAAGCGAAAAAATGTCCATTAAGCTTGTAAACTATTTTCAAGCTGCATGCTTTTTTGTAAAATGAACATCGCAATTTCATTTTCAAGAACACTAATAAAGAACACATAGTTGAATAAGTTGCTTATAAAGAAACGCAAGCATTGCTGAACAACATTTATAAAACAGGTAGATGTAGAAAGGTTTGTTCGTTGTGTAAGAAGCAACTCAAATGTTTAAACACGGGAGTACTTTTTATGTTTGGAAAAATCTAAAGGATCAAAAAATCAAAACCAGAAACTATCAATAAAACCCTGCAATGACTTATCATACATTCTTAACGTAATTTTAATTATTCTCGAGTGCAAAAAAAAAAAAAAGAAATCGAAAAACTTTTTAAATTTCGAAATCTACGAAATGAAGAATTTTATTTAACTTGGTCATATAAGAAAATAGCTATTGTATGATGATTTTGTTGAAAATCCAAACCTTCGACCTCGGTAAATATCACATTATCAAGGTCCATATAGACTCATAATCATACAATTATTGTATAACTCAGGCATTGGTAAACATGAAGCGTCCAAGAAATTTAAGCGTCATAAAAAAGTATTTAAACAAATGAAAATCGACAACAAGTTGTATTATGTCTTTTTTTAACGGATTAACACATAACGATATATTTAACAACAATAACAACAGAATGGGCAGTCAATATTATACAAACATGAGGCTGTTGAAAACGAAGCTGTCATTGACATCAGAACGAGGCTAGTCTCAATATCAGAACGAGGCTGTTCTCAATGTCTGATCGATGCTGTCCTAAGTATTAGAGCGAGCCAGCGAGACTGTTCTAATTATCAGAACGAGGCTCAGTAGTAGAACAAGCCTATCGCCTTAATTCTTATTTTCTGAACACAATTTTAAACAGCTTAAGACGTAAAATGCGTTCTGAATCCGATTGGGAAAAAGTAAGTAGATATAATTATAGTAAGTAATATGTAAATCAGCAAGCACGCAGACGACAGATATTCAAGACCTAATGACGTCACATTCATTTCCGTGTCTACACAATATGCATATTTCCATCTCCCAATGTAATGTCTTGTTTATACGTAAGTTTATTCACTTGATAAGTTTGTAGATTAACTGTATATTCAAATTACGACATAGCTTACGTCACACAACTCTCATGCTTACAAGTGTCATGAACTTTCTCGTCACATGACGTCATGGAAAACAACTGAAATGTCACTTTAATACAGCTATGCTTCTACACAAAAAAAACAATGTGACGAATACAAAAACAAAGTACTATGCTTTGACAAATCGTGTGTTGATAATGCTGGTGATACGTCTTAGGCGAGCCCATACCCTGGTAAGGTCACTTCCTCCGCCTTCTGTAGCTTAAGCTGTAAAAGAAAAAATAATGAAAACATTAAAGAAAATGATGTCGATCTATATTCCTCAATCATAGCTACAGCTTAGTTAAAAATAAACAGCATTATTTTACATGACATCAAGTGAAGATTCGATTGTAGTTGCGGGTACTGTCATTTGAAACAGCACATAAAAGAGAATAGAGAAGCCATTGCTGACAAAAAGAATTTGAAGATGAAAGTAACAAAGTAAAGAATATTGATTAAACTTTTTTACGAAACTTTTTGTTTACAAGAAACGTAAATAATCTCCCTTTCCTCTGTTTCAGGAAACCAGTGAAATATCAGTTAAATATCATTCATATGACGTATAAATCACGTGATCAATCTTGAAAGTGTTATAGCATATCTTATTGTTTACAATTGAAATATTTATGAAATTAAAATAAATGAATATCATTACTAATAATAAGATGGGGCAACGATGACTGTTTCATTAAAGATCTTTTTGTTATTTTAAATAAATGAAAAGCACGATACTTTGAGAGGTTTCATTGAATGGATGGATAAATGGTGAAAGGAGTATGAAAAATCGAAATGTAACATATACAATGCACGTGTTACTAAAGCTTCGAAAGTGTTATACGATGGAAATAATGGTGAAATAATAATACCATATAAGGTTGTGTTATTGGACACACACAGTGTTAAAGCGACGTAGACAGTTAGTGTATAAATAGATATACATGTATATAACAGTGAAATCTTAATGATATTTTTTTCACTTTTTAGTAAAAATTTATATCTATAAAGAAGATATATTTGTTTTCAAAAAAGATGCCAAATTTAACACATATTTGGTCATATATTGGCTGTCGCTCCAGTTAACCGGTTTTTTCCCTGGATAACTAACCAGTACTTACAATTTTTCCAAAAGTGACCGACTACTACTAATAATAACCTCAAATGATTAATGATTGAACCAGCAGCGACCTCTGGATTACTAATCAAAGACCAGTGATGAAAGGGACCTTATTTGAGTTAAAACACAATGACATGCTGGTATGGAAATACGGATGGCTCAAACAAAATGTCTGCATGCCTATAAGGTGCATGTAATTATTTTTTTTAAAAAAGAAAAGAAAAAGAAAAAAAAGAACACTAGGCGTCGTTAAAGGTCTAATTAGGTTATACACATGTAATGATAAGCCTTTTTATGCTTTTTTATTGAAATAAATTCCATTTTGAAGAACATTGCAAGTTTATTTTAATCACTTTCAACTCCATCTTCTTGACTAACTATATTTGGTGTATCGGAAAAGTGGATATGCAAACACAAGCTCGGGCCCAAAGTTTCTTGTCTGAGCGGAAGTGACCTTAATCTTAAGAGTATATTTCCCTTTATCCGCACTGATTATATTTCAAAAATTACAATTCAGAATTATATAAAAATATACACTTTTAGTATATATTTTTTTAAATCTTGAACAAAAGCTTGTACTATGTGTCTATAAACATCGACTGTAGTTGAGTTGAGTGTAATTCTGAGCCCTTATATTCGATCTATGACATTTAGGGATATCAAAAGCCCCAAAACAAATACATGTATAATGCGTGTAAAGGTCCTCGGTTATTCATTTGAGAATAGGAAAAATGTTTTTTAACAAAACTTCCTGGGGAAAAATGTATATATAAAACATGTTAGTAAACAACAAAACACACACAGAAGCAACATAAAAAATCTAAAATTTTAGTTTAAAAAAATACTAAAAATAGCATTTCGAAAAAGATAACAACCCCAAAGCAACAATACATAATTAGATCAAAGCAGCTATGTCTACGAAACGGTCGCTTTTTAAGGTATACAAAAGTGTGTAAACATAAACAAAAACACATAATATTTTTGCACACGACCCGTTTTTAGAATAATTATTTATTAATATAAATATATAATTTTACATTTTTTGGCGTACATTATAAGGCAACATGCATGTATATATAGACCTTACACCACAAAGTTGAATGACATATACAGTTAGATCGTTTATATACCTTTTTTGGTTTTAAAGGCGAGTTATTTGCGTCTGCAAGGAAGGAGTTTTTTTTTTATAAATTTTACATGAAATCCACATATACATGTTTACATATATATATGTAGTAATATATTTTACAATTAAAAATAGAAATATCTATATGTACTAACTTTTTAATAATAAATTTCAAGCAGTTATTTAAGGCATACTTTATGATTGTTTTAAATAGACCATTATATAATTATAGAGTACTGCAAAATCATTATTATTCAAGAGGCACTAATTTTCGTGGTTTTCGTGTGGTTTTTGTGTATAGTTCAATCCACGAAATTAAAATCAAACGAAATTGTTCTCGTCTGCTGGAAGATTATGTTGCATAAAATCATTTGCATTGTACATTTTTTTTTGTGCAAAAATAGACAATTCACGAATTTAAGAACCCCACGAAATTTGTTTATTTTGACAAAACCACGAAATGTCATGCCCACGAAATTTAGTGAATTCGCAGTATAAGAAGTGTGTCTGCAGTGATGGTGAATTTGTTGTTAAAATGCATTTTATACATCATACACGGTGTTACTTTGATATTTCTTGTAGATAAATAAATAGATACAGAGCTATTCTATTCTAATATAAACTGTAAAAAATCATTTATATTTTAGCAGTGATATCTTCATGTTGCGATTAATATATTTCTTCTAGCAAAAATAAATGAATACACTAGATTAAGAATGGAGTTTTGAAAAATGAAACAAACTGATGTAATTAATAAAAATAAACGAAAATAACAAAATAATACTGGCATGAATTTTGCTATGATACAGTAACAAATAACTCAAATTAACTGATGCCAATCTAATACTTTTAATACTTTATAAAGTAATGTAGAGTGCTTTATTAAAATAGTTCCTTTCAAAATAATTTATAATGTTTGCTTTGCAATAAATAAATAAAAATGCGCAAAAACACATATTCTAAAAATAGAATATTCTAGACGTTCTAAATATATCTTAACATCTTCAAAATTCTATATGTCGTTTAAAAACTATTGTTAATTTATATAGCTCTACATAATTATATAATTTTTATTGTATATATACTTTATACTTTATTTGTTGTTAGCATTTGTGTCTTATTGTTAAAAATCTGATTATCAAAAGACTTGTGTTATATATGGTGCGAAAAGTGTGAATAGTTTCTCAAAAAAAAAAAAACAAAAAAAAAAAAGAAAAGAAAAATAAAATCATTTACAATCTAGATATAGAGTGTCTAGCAACAGTATTTGGATCTAAAGAAGCTTGAAATTAAACTAAAAATAAACAAAGCTTTATATAGATTCTAATAAAGACATGTAAGAGTAAATATTTGAAAATAAGAAAAATAACGCTTTGAAATAATTATTACGTACTAGATCAAGTTAAATGAAACAATACGGCAAAAAAAAATAAAAATATGCTTTCCTTTGCAGCAAATAAATACACGTAATAATATATCATAATTTTCATAAGAAAAATGTGGTTAATTTTTCAAGACTTTAAAAACTGTTTAATTGTTTAAGACTTTTATTGAGCCTACCTTTCCATTCGATGCAGCGTCGATCATTCGAGAAATGTCCTCAAGTTTCAACTCTTGCGCGCGTTCTTTCAGTGACGTCATAGAATGTCCGCATTCCATCATTGCGCACAAAGCGTCGTTGGGATCGCATTTGTTGTACTAAAATAAGATAATATAGATTCTATACTATATTGTATAAATAATATGATTGTTTGATAATTTGATTCATCTAGGTCTAAAGATGACAAGAACGTGGCGGCATGGAAGAGTGGTGAACGCATCGTTATAGTAATTTAAGGACCATTGACCGCGTCGGTTCAAACCCCGCAAGGGGCATACCATTGTTTCCTTGAGCAAGAAACTTTACACACATTGCACTGGTTGATTCAAGGAAAGGATTAAAGTAGTGTGCATGTCTATAACTTGAACGCTTTCTACATAACTAATTAAAATAAATTATGTTTAATCTTAAATATCTGTTGATTGTTATTAAATTTTAACATTCATTAAGCTCTACATAAAGCCTACGTGTTAACGATAAAAGGCAAACCTAAAAACATAAATTTCCACAAACCTGTTTATAAACGTCTGTTTGGAATCCATTAACAATGAGAAATTTTGCAATTTCTACTGCTCTGCTGTCCAGACAATCAAAAAGGGTGCTACTATAGCGTGAAACGTCCCCAAAACTCTTCAACCCCATCACTAATGACTTTACCGTTTCCAAGTCTCCACTCTATAAAGATATTAATGAAACAACCATGTTTAAATATCGACATCTGATTCATTTAAGGCCCTTATCTTCTTAAATAAATAAATAAATAAAAATGTCTCGTTTCTGCATCATGGGGTATCAATTTGAATCAGTTATTGAAATCGAAATGTCAATAAAAATGAAAAAGAGAAAATGCTACATTCCAAATTACTACTTATTCTAAAAGCCCATTATGCCATAGAAACTGTTCTTTATATAGGGAAAACATGAGTTCAATAACGTTAAAATATTGGTTTAAGATCATGTTAGTTGCTTGTAACCAGAACAATGTAGCACTGACTGTGGTATTATTTGTCATAAAAGTGGCAGAACATGTACTCATTACTATTAGAGAAAGAACATATAAGACCATTTACGTATTTTATCTTACCGAAATTGCACGTTTAAACGTGGTTTCAAAATCCGTTTCTGACAAATATACATTTAAATCAAAGTCTGACACCTCTTTCTGTAAACGTTGAAACTTCTGATTTCCACAAACGTCTTTCTTGTAGTCATTTGTAGTCAATCCATTCTGAAACGAATGAATGAAATGAATAAATGAATGAATGAATGAATGGCTGGCTGGCTGGATGAATAAATGAATGAATGAATAAATGAATGAATGAATAAATGAATGAATGAATAAATGAATGAATTAATAAATAAATGAATTTTTGAATGAATGAATGAATGAATGGCTGGCTGGCTGGATGGATGAATGAATGAATGAATGAATAAATGGATAAATGAATGAATAAACGAACCAACGAACGAATGAATGAATTAATTTATTAATTTATGAAATTAAATAGATAAATGAATAAATAAATACAGGAAATAAATATATAAAAATTGGAAAGAAAGAAAGAAAGAAAGAAAGAAAGAAAGAAAGAAGGAAAGAAAGGAAGGAAGGAAGAAAGAAAGAAAGAAAGATTTTTTAAAGAAAGAAAGAAAGAAAGAAAGAAAGAAAGAAAGAAAGAAAGAAAGAAACAAATAAGCAGATAAATTATGCAATAAGTACATTTATTGACCAGTATGGCGTGGTATAACATATACTAGGGGAAATAACTCACGTAATGTATTGCAAATGAGCACAATTAGAACAAATCCTATGACAATTGAGTGCTTCATTGATATAAATAAATTTAACTATAATGAACATGTTGAAAGGCCGTCTCATAAATAAAGTTATTTATGAATTAACTTTTGACAAGGTTACTTCACGCTCGAACAGAAAGTCTCTCTTAATTTTAGATGATATGAAACACGTGTTTATATGTTGTACGCTTTTTTTCCCCATATACAACGTTATTAAAAATTCATTCATGCAATATGCAAAGACAAAATCATTAAATCAATTCACATGTTATTGAAAAACATGAATTAAAGAGCGCCAGCTACAACTGTAATGTCGAGACGTTAGGAAAAAGAAAAAATATAAACATGAACGTTATTAATTTGAGCGTCTGACGTAATACACTTATACGTTTACCACTGCAGTACGTCACGTAGCGCTATTAACAAAGATAAAAGTATTAAAATGGAAAGAACCGGTCATTACGAACGAAAGATATAAAGTATTTATGTTGCATTATTATCGCCAAACGATCATAAGTATCATCCGATGAATTTGATATTACCATTGATGATAATATCAGAAGAAAATTCGCTTCAAATTTTATACGGAAATTAAATGAGCTTTAATGAATTAATTGATGAGAGACAATGACATTTGAGACAAATTATCCACCCCAGCACCCCCTCCCTCGCACCGGCTGAAGGAGTATTCAGCTTTCAACATTAAAACTACTGGAATAATTGATCCCACGGCACCAAAATACTATAACGACACCGTGATGAAAAACGGTGAAACTTTCTTTAACTAGCTTCTAACACAGTCCTTAGCAACTGCCGATAAACTGTCCTCAAGAAATGTATAAGGAGTGAACTTTTTTGTTTTATAAACTATTGTATCTTGAACATACATATTGTTTTAATCTTTTAAATTCACGCAAGAATATTTTATTTCATTTACTTTTGGTACAATAGATATATTCAAACAAACGGGTCTTTGGCAATTTAATACTCATTTATAAATACTCGTAGCAGAATGAAATGAAATGAATATAAATAGCATAATAACAATTGGAACTTACGGCGTCAAAGAGTTTAGGGTCAGCACCAAGTTTCGTCATCCGGTTGACCGTGTCGGGGTTCTCTGCGAACAGGTTTGCGTAGTGGAGGGGTGTCCTATCAAGCTGTAATAAATGAATTTATGTTTTATTTGAAAATAAATTCGTGTTATTTTCTTTGGCACAATGCACTGTCGTCTGACGGAGAGGCCGATGACGATAACAATCATATTCGTTATATTTTTAATCGGGGCCTTGTTTTTTCCCCGCACGAATAGTTTACACAATCATGGTCATTGAGCTGAGTTTTTAGCTAGCGGCCGATTTTAACTGATTCTTGTTGATAAATACATAACATTTAATAACAAAAATCATCTTTGATTGATCAAAATATCTACGTTTTATAAAGTCTCAATACGGGGTGAGTTTTATACAGGTAAATTAAGCCATCACCGACGGGTTTTTGTGATCATTTATTTTCTAGCTTTTGATGCCTCTCTTCCTTCAGTATTTCCGGCACAAGCGAGCGCCTGAGATAACCACCGACCTCCTGTAAGATACCTCGTCAGATGTGACCACAGTTAAAATGACCAGGAACAAGATTTCCAGAGACTTTTACATACATAATCTTTAATGTCTATTCTATATTTTAAGGCTTATTTATATTGTCAAAAAAATCATACGGCGGACTGCCTATATAAACACAGACTTCCTTCTTTGCTTAATTCAAGAAATAATGATCCTGTACTATATTGTTTATCAGTTTAGTTATAAGTTGAGTTACAATGACATAAAAGATACTTTACATGTAATTTCATGTAATTTTGTTGTGATTTATGCTTCCAATATAACGAACAAGTAGCTAGAATTAATTTAACCTACCTAGCCCATACTGAATTCACATTCAGAATTACAGTAAAATGTCAGTTATTTCACATTTCAATAACAATAATTATTGACATTTGTTTACTTTTTATCAATATGAGTATTCAAAGGGTAAAAAGAAAACATATGTTACAGACTTCTATTCTAATTGAACCGCAGGCAAAACATGGTAGTAAAACTTAACAGATTTCTACTCTCATCACACCACGGGCAATTCAAGGGAGTAAAATATAACAGACTTTTACTCTAATCAAACTATAGTCAAACCATGGGAGTAAAATGTAACAAACTTCCACTCCCCAAATGTCATCACTATATTGACAAATAACGTTTCGATCTAAATCCAGTGATGAAATCGGTACAAGTTACTTTTTAAATATCCTAGGGAGTAAAACACATTTACTCAATTCTCATTACACTATAGTGTAAAGGTTGTATTTTAGGAAAATATTGGGAATCATGTAATAAATGTTATAATCATAATCAGATACGCTCTGTATAAAAAGGTAAAATATCGTTATCTTTTCACTTTATCTTTTGACTTCACTTAATGTATAACATTAAATACTAGTTTGCCATTACACACAGTAAAAACTACAAATGTTTAATGTTTACGAGTTGAATAAGGAAACGAAAACAATGGTTCTAAAAACAAGGAAGTTATAACATTATTACCTTTTGGACTATGACGTAAAATGAAGTTTTAATTTAAGAAGTTTCATTAATTCTTTTGATGAGATGAAACGTTTATGTCCCTTTACTTGGCTATGCATATATTAGCATAATGATTTCCTTACGGCAACGTAACGTACTATTTACGTCGAAATGTGATTTACGTTAATGACGTGAATACTAGTAAAACATCCTGTTCATTATATAAATATTACTTCAGACGATAACTCATGTAGCGACAATTTCAAGATGCAAATTAATTTTTGGCTAAAATGTATCACGTAACAGTATATCTTAAACATTCCGTTAATCAACTTGCGTGTTGATGTCAGTTCGGTGAAATGAAGTACCATTATAAAGTTAAGAGTGTGACTCACACTGGTTAATTTTAGTGACGTCACATTCCTTAGGTCAAATCAACACTCATAAAATGCTAATGTATTCCTGTTGACGAACTTATCTAAAAGTTTTCAGATATATGTGTATCAAATATTTTTACAAGCTTCCCATATAAGGAGCCAAGTTAAGAGAATAAAAGTCGCCTTCAACATAAAAGACGTCTTGTAAATGCAAGTACGAATAATGTAAACAATTTTATATTACATTAAGAGTTTGTTATTCTCAAAGTAATTTTTACCGGAAGCAATTGTATGCATAATAGATTGTACCTTATCGATATTGATCAGTGTTTGTATTTAAACTTATACAAAGAACAAAGAAATTACTGTTTAATTCCTTTAATTCTGAGTTTTGGAGAACCGAAGTATGACACTATATCACAAATGAATACCATCTTACCCAAAATTACATATACTTCATACTAACCCCCACACTCCCCCCCCAAAAAAAAAAAAAACAAAAAAAAAACATAAACAACACTACTACTCTCTGAGTATACCGACCCCGACCCCCACAAATCAAAAATTAAAAATCTAGGAAAACTACCGGAAACCACTCGATACCTTTTAACTAGTCCAAACCTACCGAAAATACTAGATATGTGTGCTGAATGCTAATCTCCATCCACTGAAAATACTCCCTATCTACCGAAAACTATAATATGTGCTGACATCTAAACTCAATCCATTGCAAATACTTCCGATGCACTAAGCGCTACCCAGTATATTTACTGAAAACTAATCCGAATCAACACAAACCCACTCGCATTACACAGAAAAACCAACAAACAACAACAACATCATCCAAAACAATAAAACTGCTTACACTATCCCTGGAGTTAATGAGGCTCGGGAATTCCTCCAAGAGGTACAAGGTGATCTCTTCGCGCCGTTTAAGTATGGCTCTGTGCAGGACGGTCCGGCCGCACCTGTCTCGAACCTCGCCATACCGCTTGCAGCTTAACAGCTTCTTCAGATCTTCCGTCTGTCCGTCATCTACTGACTGGAAAACACGCCGCACATATGCCTGTAATTGGTAAATTTTACGATACATACTACATTTTATTCAACATACCTGCCTAATAATAAAATGATTTCATAGACCTAAATGTTGTACATGCAATATAAGTGATTGTCAGAAAAATTCAGAGCTCACATCATGGAGACATACACAAATTTTGTCGGACTGTACCTTGTGAAAAATGTAATAAACGGTTAGCAGCATTAAAGGCACATTATGCCTTAGAAACAAACAAATTATTACTTTTTAGAAAGTGCGAACATGAATTTCATAACATTCAAAATAATGGTTTTAGAAGCACTAAATGTGAAATAATTTGTCATAAAGGTAACAAAACGTAAACAAAGTAGTATTTTGACTTCCTTCCAGAATGCTTAATCGCTATAACAGTTCTAATTGCAATTTAAAAGCAGAAGTAGTAAAATATGGTTCATGCAATTTGCCAATGTAATTTTTTTGGAAACTATAAAAGTACATGTAGTCTAAAAATTAAAAGCTGTCGAGAAATAAAAAGGTAAATTTATGCATTTAATACGTGCAGAAATGAAATGGTTTATTTATATATGTAATTTCTTGCAAACACTTGATTTAAACTATTGTACGTATTTTGTTGTAGATTTAAGAAATTAATTTCATTGCTTTTACAAGCTATAAGAGAATAAATTATTATATGTTTCAATAAAAGAAACTATTGTCGCCATTGCCATACAAAGAAATTTTCAAAAATGACTAAAAGGTCCTGTATGTTTTAATTAAGATGTAACAACACTTTTATGTATGAATTTATATATGAATATAATTATTCATCTAAAACAATTTCCAAACATTCAAGAATATCTTAAATATGTCTTGCGAATAAAATTTCGCATTATCACTAATCATTGAAATACATGCATTCATTACTTATTGAAAAATAAGCTTAGGCTTTATTGAAAATAAATTTCTAATTACCTCCCTTTATTTTCATAAAATGTTAAATTCAGTAATATCTTTATAAATAATGCTTATTGGAACTTACGATATTGATTAATCTTAATTTGAGCATCATATTTATGACATTAAACCATAAAACATTTGAGTAACAGGATCTTTAAGAAAATCATACCTGCTATATCTTTTTAAGAACTTCATTCAAATATTCATATTTAATTTAAAATCATCATTTCGTTATGTCAATTCAGTTTTAGAAATTCGTTTGGAAATTTGCATTTCCGTTGTGCAACAGAAAGTTTGAACTTATTTAAAATATTTGAAATAAAGTCCCATTTATTCATAACATTGTAATCATTTAATCAAAATAGTGTAACATTTTCACTTTCATCATGTCTATTTCACTTGCCTTTTTATGTTATGCATTAGTTAAAAAGACCCATTTAATTAAAGTAACAGACAAACTTGAATCGGCTCCGTAAGGTGTCTTACTAACTTACGTTACGGTTATCATTTAATCAACACGTCGTGTGATTTACTAAATACCATTTAGTTATGTAACATAAAATATATTCGTGGTAGGTAGATATATATATCTTGATTTAAAAGAAAGCCAAATGACAGACAGTCTCAAATAAGCTGTATATTTATACATTTTTTTCTGTGATATAATTCATGGGAAAGTTTACAATTTTAAACTTACGATCAAACAAGATGAAAAATAGTTTTTTTTTTTGTAATTTTCAACCCATTTCAATTAAAAAACAAATTATTAACATTTTGTAACAGTTGATGCAGATGGTGTTGATATACACAGGCAAAGGCAAGGCATACCAATAAGGTTATGCAGCATTTAAATTTACAGTAGATTAGTTATGGCTTGCATTTGATAGGATTATGATAATAAATAATCATCAATGGTCTGTTTTGCTGAATGGAAATGTGGAGGCGGGGTGCAGGTGGGCCTGTGTTAGGTATGGGGGCAGGGGAAATGGATGTTGGAAAAAATAGATCTCATTTTGGAGTGAAAGTTGATCCAAAAATCTCATTCAATGATTATCTCATTTAGGGTAAACATCATGCGAACAATCTCATATCGGGATAAACGTCATACGATAACGAAAAACCTTATTTTGGGGTAAACGTCATACGAACAACCTTATTTTTGGGGTAAACGTCATACGAAAAATCTCATTTAGCCAAGAGGTCTTGCAATAATCTCATTTTGGGGGGTAGACGTTCTTATTCTAGTACAAGTTTCTAACCAAATTCTCATATTAGAACAGAGGTCAAATGAAGATCTCATTTTGAGGTTAACGTCTAATTAAAATGATTAAAATCTTACTTCTGAGTAGAGATTCATTTTGAGGCAAAAATCTCACCTAGGTCTCATTTTGGGTTTTAGTATAACTAAGGTTTCAGAGGAGGTCTAACATAGATCTATTTTTATCTTCTTTTTTTTGTTAGTTCTTTTTTATTGGGGTGGGGAGGGGTTTGCAGATGTTTAACCAATATCTAATTTTTGGTTTAATGTCTAGCCATGGTCTCTTTTAAGACGTTTTCTTTTTATGAGAGTCAAAATTGCCTATCTGCGGTATTTGCAAGTGTAAGGACTAAATTCTATATTTAGACTTAGAAATAGTCCTTTTTTTATATATTATAAAAACACATATTTCTTAAAATGACGTCATATTAATATTAATGACGAAAGAGCACCTACCTGTATCGGGGCTGTTAGCTTCACAATTTCAGAAATATTCCTCGTGCTCGACTTTTTGGCAATTTCCGTCATAGATTTATTACCCTCACTTATATCCAATATGTGATCATAGTTTGTTAAAATCAGTTTTTCTACTTGTTCAAATTTCTTGTCTTTCACTAGTTTGATGACAAAGTCATCAATAAGTCTAACATATTTTGGACGATTTAATTTTTCGGCTAAATCACGCGCAGTTCTTCCATGGCAGTCACGTGAAGCCAAATCAACACCACACTGTAATATATGTCTAAATATAGTATCCGACTGATTGGTGGAAACAGCCACGTGTAATATCGTCTGTCCAGTGTTATCACGTGCTGTGAGATCACTTCCTTTTAGCACGCGCATTGTGATTTTTTCATCATACGGTGCACCGAGTCCGCAAAGAATCTGGAAAAATGTAGATAAAAATAACTGCTATCATTTGTTGTGAACAAGATAGGATGTTCTGCAAAAATATGCCAAAATCTCTTGCATTCGTTTCGAATACAAGTACAAATATCATTGTTTAACAACATGACGCATTGTTGTTCGCCCAACTCGCGTGATTTTAGTAACATCAAAATACTCAAAATGGCGACATTCACAGGCTAGAGTTTAATGATTTGACTAGCTGTGCAGCCAGAAAAAGGTTTACTTAACTTAAAAGACGTAGGTTAAAATAGAAATGTTTAAGTAACAAGCAATATACTCTATTTTGTATACATTTGCGTAATAATCCTATGTGCGTAATTGGGCATGAAAAAGTTCCAATGTTAATAAAGACATTTACCCCGTCGTTAACTCAAAGTAGAAACTATGTGTGTTTTGTATTTATGGTTTTATTCTTTGAAACCCATTTCATTGAACGCTTAATAGTGTTTTCTTTCTTCAGTTTTACGAAATTCTTGCCCAGAGGTGTAATATGAGGGACGAACGACAACTCCGCTTGATGATTGAACCTAACCAATTCTATTTATAGAATCTCAAATATGGCGGCGATTTAATAAACTAATTTCGTCTTTGAATTAAATCAATACAACGTGGAAGATAATGCAATGAAATAAATTACTGACTAAGAAAAAATAAAATCAACTTTATTGAATTTAAACTACAATTTCTACGAAAAAGAATATCTCACAGTTGCCCTACTTCAAGGCCACTGTTGTGAGAGTATAGTTGTGAGAGTATAAAAACCACCCGACAATGAAAATGAAGAAAATTCTAAACATATCATACTTTCTCAAGCGTAACTTACTTGAAAGAACACTGGTTTGGGTGGATTTTTATATTCATGATCTGGGGTCCATAGCACTCTCGTGTCTGGATTCAACTCCATGATGACGTCAACAGCCTCGTAATTGTTCGATTCCCAGGACGCTGCAATTATTGGGCGTGGAGACACGGGTGTGTCCGACCAGTGGTACTGATAACAATTATCCTTCACGTTCACGTCCATATTGCTTATAATACCTGTAAAATAAGATATTGCTTATAATTCCTACAAAAATAAGATATTACTTATAATCACTATTTAGTAAGATATTGCTTAAAATTCCATTAAAATCAGATATGGTTGCGTATAATTCCTGTAAAATCAGATACTGCAGTATTGCCTATAATTTCTGTAAAATCAGATATTACCTATAATTCCTGTAAAATCACAGACTGCTCATAATTCCGATAAAATAAGATATTGCTCATATTACATGTTAGATAAGATATTGCTTATAATTCCCGAAAAATCAGATATTGCCTATACTTCCTATAAAATAAGAAATTGCTTATAATTTCTATAAAAATAAGAAATTGCTTATAATTCCTGTAACATCACATATTGCTCATAAATTCTGTACAATAAGATATTGCTTATAATACAAGTTATATAAAATATTGCTTATAATTCCCGAAAAATCAGATATTGCTTATAATTCCTGTAAAATAAGATATTGCTTATATACTTTTTAAATAAAATATTGCTAATAATCTAATAATAGCTGTATTATAATAAGAAATAAAATATTGCCTATTGAACCGGTAAAATCTTATAAATCTCATAATTCTGTAAAAATAAAATCTTGCAATATACAACATTGCTTTTAAAAAACTTTGAATACGAATAGTTGTTGCTTATTACACTTTTGGAAATAAATATATAGAATTTTTTTTTCAAAAACATCATTGTAGATAAAAGTCCATAAAAACTTACTTTCATCGCAATTTTTAACAATTATATTATTATGAAAAATTGCTTAACCCACCTCATGTACCCATTAAGAATACACATAAATCAAAACAAACACAACACATACAAAAAAAACCCCAAAAAACTAAAAAAAAATCCCCCAAAACACAAACATTAAATGAAAACAAAAATATCACCAACAAAGTTTTTCACATGCCTGATAAGAAATGGTGATATATGTGTTCTGCGCTGACCCCTTGACCCCTTGATGTTTCACAGTTCTTAAATATGTATGAGGGACTTTAACAGATGTAATGCAATCTGTATCAAATTCCATCTAAAATTTCTTTTGCTAGTACACTTGCCGAACTTTAGAACGTCAAAATCGTGTCATAAAAGTTGACAGGCCGTATTAGTGTACGAATACCTTCTTTCAAATGTAGCAATAACCAATTGCCCGGATTTAATGCCGTTATCACTTTTTAAAAATCATTTTCAGGATATTATATACTAGATTTTGACCGATGCAAATAGTTTTGTTTATTATATATGCAAATACACATAAAAAAACAAAGTTTCATGAGGTGAGAAAACGCGCTTAGATATTTTATTGTTCATATTCTCGTAAAATTCGGCAAACTTCGTCTTATTCCGTATTTCCGGCAAACATTACTATAACTAAGAATAATAAGTAGATTCTAATATTTAAAATCTAGCCAACTCAAAAAGAGAGCGACGAAATTTGATGGAGTCGAACGTGCCATGCCTTTAATGATAAACTCAATTTCAGATATGCATTTCGATTGAATAACAAGAGTTTAAAACACAAACCATGATTTATGGTCAGGTCTAAAGCGAATTTCAAACGCAAATTTATACTGCGTGTACGCACAAAGACAAAAGCCATAGTGTCTGGAGACGAATTGGTAATTAAAAAATGTTTTCAAAGGCGAATATTTTTGTTTGTGCATTTTGTTATGCTTCAATCAACAAAGGACAACTCTTCATAAGCCGTTAGTAATGTGTTTCTTGTTCATTTTTAAGTAAAACATATATAATTACGCTATGATTTATAATAAGAAACCCCCGTAACAAAGATATAAAGCACATGTTACTTGAACTGCCAAAACCTATCAAATGTTACTAGTTCACATTGTTTTATCATTTCGTCACAATGTGCACATGTTCCATTTCTTTTTTTTTTACATATCTATTTAATTACTTGCATCGTTAAAAACTAAACATCAAAATCTAATATAGATAAAATAATTAACAATACTGAAGATAAAGCAATTTTTTCCATATCAGCGTAAACATATATTTGGGTTCTTAAATATGTATGACATGTTCCATTTCTTTTTTTTTACAGCTCTATTTAATTACTTGCATCGTTAAAAACTAAACATCAAAATCTAAAATAGATAAAATAATTAACAATACTGAGGATAAAGCAATTTTTTTCCATATCAGCGTAAACATATATTTGGGCTCAATAAAGGCACGTGATAAAAATCAAATACGTTTATATAAGGTTTAAATTATGGTTTTTGAGCATGTAACATGCAACGAAGTGTTGACTAATATCATTTGTCAAATGATAATAATAATAATAATAATAATAATAATAATAATAATAATAATAATAATAATAATTAATAATTAATAATAATAATAATAATTGATAATAATAATAATAATAATAATAATAATAATGATAAAAGTAAACAAAGTAGTATTTTGACTTCCCTACAAAGTACTAAATGTATATCAGTTTTGCCAAAATACTTAAAATTTTGCAAGCAAAAACTTTTTAGAATCTACAACTGGACACCAAAATAAATAAAAAAAACTATTGAGAAACAAAAAACAAAAGCATCTCTAAGGCATAATGGGCCTTTACTATTTTAATACAGCATAAATTATGTGTGTTTGTTTAAACAAGTGAAATTTAAACCTGTGGTTTTTAGTGCTTTCGAGGAGTTAAGTTACATAATTAGAAGAGAATGCGATACAAGTGTAAGAAAAAACAACAACAAAATATAAGGTTGTAAATCATAAATTATCTTGATTTTTCAGCACTAAACAACATTTTAGTGCTGTATAAAAAAACGGGTAAGTTTTCACCATGCGAGGATAATTACGGTCCGTTCATTATATTACTGCAAAAAAATCTGGTAAAAATCATGTAATCTAGATTGAATGGGTCGTAAAGTATTGATATCATCAAGTGATAAATTTCATTTTGTGCATTATACGAAAGTTTGATCTACATTTGATACGCTGAAGAAATCTTAACTTACAATATCACTAGTACTTTTTTACGCTTGATAAGTTACAACGGTTACTTTCTTAAGTTTAAGATTTTAATGTGCGCTCATAATGTCTTATCTAGCACCCTAAATCTAGGGAAACAGTGGAGGCCATGGCACTGGGATCCAGTTGAAATCCAAAGTATAAACTTCAATCGTAACAACTCGGCTTTCTCCGACAGCACCATAAGAAAGACTTTTTGAAGTAGCCCTAGTTGTTCCAATTGTATACGTTTTTAAATTTTTGAACTCCAGGTTCTAAAAATAGAATGTGAATACAGTTATTGATTCGGATATTCTATAAATAGACGGTAAAGCAGTAACGGTTACGTACCTTGTTTGACCCACATTCTGACAATAAAGCCCATGCCAGCAGTAGTGGCTAGGGCAAGCTCGTTTGTGTTTTCGTACTTCTCCAGCATCTGAAGTAGATCTACTTTATGTATGTCGTTTTCTACCAGGAACTTCATACTGGTCACCTTCCCTTGTTTCACCGTCGTCACACGACACCAATTCTTAAGCAGCGTCTCAACCAACTTCCGGTCTGGATTTTCGCAATTCAATGCGCACCATAACCCTGCAATATAAGCGTACGTGTGAAAAATTGAACAGTAACCTTTTACAACAAAATGGTGACGGATTTTCATCATCATCAACATCATCATTTGACATTATAACATTAACATTAACATAACATAACATAACATAACATAACATAACATAACATAACATAACATAACATAACATAACATAACATAACACAACATAACATAACATACCATAACATTTTCGTCCTGCCAAACGAAAATTTGTACGTGGCACAAACTAGCTTCCATGCAATCACAACATACAAGATTGTAAAAGGACTAATTTTTACGGTCACTGGACTTTGTTAAAACGATGTATCTTAAATATTCCTCTTAACTTACTAAAGAATAAGGATAGTCCAGAGTTCACTACGCATGATTATGCTAAACATTAAATTACAGGGTTTCTTTCATGATTCTATATTTAGTAATGTTTAATAATCTTCGGACATATCAGGCAATTAAAGCCTTGATAATGCGTTTCCTTTCTTTTGCGATCCGTACCCTTCAAATAAGGTTTAATCGCTATTACATTACATGTCATTAAAGTGCATAGAGTATTTAAGCCGTAAGACTTTGCGTCGACAGAAGACGCAAAAAAGTAATATTCTTGTTTAATTATCTTTTCATTTTCACTATGATTTTTAGATCGTTTAAGATTGCTAGCCGCCTAAGCTATAATATAGTCGGACCCGATTTCTTGTATATTGTGTCTTTCATTGGTTTAAATTGAACTTTTTATAACATCGACCGTAAATATACGGGTGGCGGCCACATGAAGTTTCTCCACTAGAATCTTTACATAAAAACAACCTTCGGGTTTGTCGGGTGGCGGCCGCGCGAAATCTTTCCCCTAAAGTATCTTGTAGTTATGACTCAAAGATATAATGGAACAGATTGATTATAGCAGTTGTTGATACAATATCGTAAGTTATACACGTCAGGCCTCCAACAAATGTTTTAGTGATTGCTGGTGATACTAGCGGTTCGATCCCAAAATAATTAAATAAAATGAAATTTCAACTAAGGAATCTTAAATCGCATACATTTAAAATGTCTATGAGTGGACGTCTTAAATAACATCTTATTTTTTAATTATGTAAGCTGAATAAAGAAATTAAAAGAATTTCACCAAAAAATTATTCTATGAACGTTAAACACATACCAGGTTTGAGTTTCCGGTACCAATGCAGGTTCTCCTCCCAGCCATCCGGTCTCTCTTTCTCCAACAGAGTTTCCGCATCAAGATCATTATTGTTCTTTATAGAGGTGTCGGCGCCGCATCTGTAAATAAAATATTAACACTTTCAAATACTGACGCCAAAAGAAGCAACAAGTTATACAGAGTTAAACTAACAACAACAACAACAGATTTATGTAACCTCTTCACTGACAGTACAGTCATCGTAGAAAACCCTACTTTTTTGTTGTGTTGTTGTCGACAGTGTTAATATATGGACCAAATTTAGATCCTTACTTACATTGAGGCAACTCTTCTTAACTAAAAGAAGTAGGAATCAATTGTTTTTTTTCCTTTGTTAATAATTTCAGCATAAAGAAGCACATGAGTTGCAAACTACGTCCATGACATATCTAAGACATAAACATATTTTTTTTTGGAAACACTGACTTATAATGTACGGCAGAAACAAGGTAAGAAAAAGGACTCATGGAAATTTCAAGACCCTTTAAAGGTAATAAATCCAATATAAAAGTTTGTAAAAATTCGAAATATTTCGGTACATTCCGTTCCCTGTAATAGTTGAATATGCGTCAATTTGACCCAGACTCGTAAAATAGGAAATCATGTAAGCTGAATGGTTCTTGATAAATATCAGATACGGAGTTTAACGAAGTTTGCCGATTTTTTTTATACAGAATCCATACTGACGAAATGTGTTATACATTGAAAGTATGAACACTGAAATGGTAAAGGAATACATTCACTCATTTACAGAAAACAACCGTATGAAAAGAAACGGCGCAATATGTGCAAACAAAGGCACTCAAGCAATAAAGAATCGAAAATAAGAGAACAGGACTTTATGTCAACTTAAAGCCGAATCTCAAGATTCATGCTAATATTATGAAAATCTACAGCATGTTTTTTATATAATTATCTGATTTGGAAGTGGAGAAGTGAATTTGAAAATTGTCCCTAAACTTATAAATGATTTTGCCCGAAAGAAAGATAGACAAGTTCATTTAAAAAAGAGTGGTAAGAGTTAATTTTGAAAGATATTCTGTTTGAATTTGTCCGTGAATCTAGAAGCAAGCAGCTTTAAGTCTATTTGCTAAATCGTAGTTTTTCGGCCGTTTCCGTCAAACTTCGGAGATAGACTATTTGTTAAACATTTTAACAACATTTTAACAAACAGTTTATGTACACAAATCCACGAGAACAACTACTTTGAAACTGCGTGTGTTTTTCATTTTTATCAAAATGCGACCCGCACTTCGTACTTCTATTTTCAACGTTTTAATCTAAATATTATCTAATACAGCTCAGTTTTTATCTGAAAGCTTGAATCTTACTTCAACAACTTCAGCTTCTATTAAATGCCAAGCACTTGGGGATATGGGGAAATATGGGCGTGGCCCTATTAGGGCTCGAACCCATAACCTATTGTTTAAAGTACAGATACCTAAATTACCAGGCCAGATCTCAGCTTAACATTAAAATATAATACATGAATTAACGGAAGTGTTAGTAACTGTTTAATTTTGCATTCTTCGGGTTTATATCTTTATTTAGTGCTTTGTGGTGTGTGTGTTTTTATGTTAAAAATGTACTTTTAAAAGCCGGTCGAAAGAAGTGTTACTTTCCCGCATAATCACCATACTTTTGCCATTGTCCTAACATAAAAGGACCGTTTGAGGTATGTCTTCATCCCGGTTTAAATCGTTATAAACTATCGTTCCTTTTTTAATTTGAAAGAAATATTAGGTAACATTGATGGGAGATTTATTTTGTATTCTTAATCGTGTATATCCAAAACAGTGGTTTTACATGTTTTCTTTTTTCTATTTTTACTATTTTTCTTTGCTTGTCAGATTATAGGTCTAAATTTGTCCACAGAATAATCAGTTTGTTTTGTATTAAAGATTATCGATGGCCATAAAACACCGAAATGTCTATAGTAACAGAAAAGCAAAATCTCTAAATATAATGCACGCGTTGTGCACAATGTTCTAGAATATGACACATCGCGTCCTACCTTTACATAAAGATAAAAGTAAACCTGAAATGAACATAAATACGGTGTTACAGCTAGTGTTTGCCAATCGCCTTAGATCAGTTAGTAATAATATGGTTTGTTAATATGTAAAAAGGGTAAAAATTATCCCACGGAGACATGAAATGCAAATAAGAGTTTTAAGAGAGTTATTGTATAGACAAGACCACAAAAATCAACTTTAAACATTTTGAAATTTTTGCTGAAGGGGTGAATATATAGTGTAAATAGAACATTGTATATGTTTACTAGGTTTCTTTTGGGGGTATTTTTGGTACATTCTATTTAATTGTTGAAAAAAAATGTATAAATATATGACGTGCTAAAGAGCTACCCCTTTTATACTACCTAAGTGTTTTATTATTCAATCGGTTGTTTCGTTTTTATGTGTTGACAGGTAAAACTTGCAATTATATGAATTTATTATACCAATTTTCAAGGGCAAATTTAAACACGCAATGACCTCCAATGACCTCTAATTTGAATAAAAGGTCTGCCGACAATGAGGAAACTTATATAGGTAGTTTCTGTAGAGTTTTAACTCAATTACAGTTTTGTAAAATTACAGATTTACTGGTGCGCAGTCCATGCTTTGTTTCAGGCCCGAGGGGGTACCCGAGTAAAGCCACCTACTTTCCGTATGCTAGCTGGATAGCTTTTCGCATGAAAAAATCCAAGGTCCTTTGTGGGGTTCGATCGTATAGTGGCAATCGGCAAGCCGCCATGAACGGGACATTATATAGAATGGGACATTATAAAAATGTTTAAGAACTGGTCAAAATATAGCCTAATGAAACAATTGTAAAGCAGCAATTAATTATATTCTAGTCAGGGGAAAAACATTCTTTTTCTAAATATTATAAGAAACAGAAAAGGTTAAGATTGAATGATTAAATGTATCAAGTATTGTCGAAGTAAATAATTTTATATTTTCGTATTATATGTCAACACATGTATAATGTTTCACTGAATTAAATAACACTATTTTAATCATTATACAGTTAAACCTGTTTTTAAAGGCCGTCTATAATAAGTAAGTAAGTAAGTAAGTAAGTAAGTAACGACTTTATTTAATGAGGCTAACACATTCGGTTTCCCGATCTTCCATGCGGGCCTCAATAATAATAATAATAATAATGATGATAATGATGATGATGATGATGATGATGATGATGATGATGATAATGATGATGATGATGATGATGATGATGATGATGATGATGATGATGATGATGATGATGATAATGATGATGATGATGATGATGATGATAAACAAAAAACATTTAAACCTTGTATGCTTTAAAATAACCATATCACTTCTCTGTCTGAAAAAATACGGAAAAAAAACTTTCGTAAAAGGCCACCTATCGAAAAAGAAAAAAAATGCTAATTCCTTAAAACTGGTCTATTAATACAGGTTTAATAACACACACTGGTTATCGTAGATACATGTATATATGGTATTTTTCTGTCCATTTATTAAGAAAATATCAGCTTCTTGGAAATTTAAACATTCAATTTTCACGGTAAACAAACTCGAAAACTTTAATTTTAAATTTGCCTAGTTCAAAAAAAAATCTGCAATTGCAATCAAATTTAATTCACGTTTTATGAAGATTTTTTCTAGACGCCAAAAACGCCTACGCTTGAAATGTACAAAAACATCTTTATAACGGTCGTACTATTTTATAAATCTTTGACATGTTGTTTAATTGTGTATTCAATGAAAAGATGAGGACGGGTAACGCAATCTATTTTATAAGTTAATTTCATGCACTGTTGCTGTTGTTGTTTTTGTTGTTGTTGTTATTATTGTTGTTGTTGATGGTGGTGGTGGTAGTGATGATGTTGTTATTGTTGTTGCTATATTTAAAAAGTTTCTATTTGATTCAAACGAAAGTCAATATATAAGAACTGTGCTCTTTGTAAGATCGATGCACTTTGAACCTGTTTTATATTTTCATTATAGAATAAACATGAATATACTATTGCTTTTCTCGGCATCTGGTTATTGTCTGTGTTGTTATCATGCGACGCACTAAGAAAACCCATGCGTGTACATATACATGTATCTATTTAAAAGCCGCATTTGTCTTTTTTTATTTAACCACAAGCAGACCACGCGGCGCAGTATAGTGTTAACCATACTAATTTGTCATCTCTTAATTAATCGTACTTTTTTTTTCTTTCTCTTTCTTTCCAAACTTGAACAAAATTGGTCCAATGGCACGAATAAATTGCCGCATTTTTACACGTTTTGCCGTATACTATTAACATTTTTGAAATGGTAGTATCAGGCACGGCTTCGTGTCAAGTTACAATAAATGAAAAGAAACGAAGAAAACATACAGTACGTAGTTGTTCATCGTGGCTTTGTTGAAGATGAATTCGATTTAGGAGTGTGAACCTTTTTTTAATAATGATAGAGGTAAGGCGAGATCTGGTATCAAGGTTGTCCTATTAAATGACCTATATTCCATTATTCGTCTTACTTCAAATTTAAATTATCTTTTATAAATCGTGTCAGTTTCTTTAAATTCTGTATGGACGGTATTTCTATGGTAACTGGAGTTCCCTATTGTAAGATTTCTATTCCGGAAGAACGGGATCCGGGATATAGATTTCTATGTTAACACTGATCTGACAGATTTTTTCATTTTTCATTAATTAACCCTAGTACTGACGCACGCTCAAAACCCTTGGTACATAGATTCATATATTATTTTGTCTTGGCCATATTCTATAAATATTTACTTGTAAATGGCCAAAGGCATATTTACGCCGATTGCTGAATAAAGATTGCTTGCTTGCTTGTTTGATTGATTGCTTGATTGATTGATTTAAAACCTCAGAATTCGTATTATTTTCTTCTGGAAACTGACATTGCGCCATGTTTAGTATTTTAATACTATTTTTAAACGAATTTCAGCATTGATTTGGGTATTTCATGATTAATTTAAATTTTCATAAAAAGATGTATACACGTATTTCATTATACCGTTTCCAGAGTACATGTATTTGTACTTTAGTATTAAAATAGATATTTGA